CTCTTGACCCAGGTGCTCCCAAGAACAGTACTTTGCACTACATTTTATTTTCTGAGGCCTGACCACTTCTCTTTTATGAGCACCTAAGAAATGTGCAGGAAGGCAAATTGCACATGTATGGTTTTACATGCTTTTATACACGTGAATTTTAAGTCACCAAAATTGTTGACAGATAGTGTTCGAACCCCAGGCACTTAGGCTGGTGTTGGGGCAGCTGAGACACTGTTTAGGATGCTCGCACCCCACACTGGAGGGCCAGGTTCAGGTCCTGGCTCTGCTTCTGATCCAGCTTCCGGCTAATGCACTCGGAAGTAGTGATGATGGCCCAAGTGCTGGGGTTCTTGTCACCCACGTGGGAGACTTGGATGGAATTCCTGGCTCCTGGCCAGGCCTGGCTGCTGTGGCACTTGGGAAGTGAACAAGCAGATGGAAGATCTCTGTATCTCTGACTCTCTTTCAAATAAAATGAAAAACAAGCAAACAAACAAAAAACCTAAAACCAAACACCAAGCACTCAATACTTGAATTACCAGGTACAGCTGAACACGACACTTAGAATGTTCAAGAACACTAATGGGTTGGCAGGACACTGCACTCTGCATTGCTTTAAATCATCTGAGATTACCTGGCAGATTCCAATCTCATGGAGATAATATCATAAATACAGCTTTTTAATCAAAGTAGAATTTCACACATTGTCATTGAATACCCTCAGACAGGGACAATGCAGGGAGGACTGGGGTTCTGCAGACGCCAGAATTATGAGTGCAACCTTGGCTTTCTAGCCTGGATTTTGATGCTCAGGCTGAGCAGGAAAAGGAATCAGAGCAAAAATTGAAGAAAAACAAACTGATGCAAAGGCAGCAGTGCAGGAGCAGAGCAGACAGAAAGCTGGAGGAAAAGGTTGACCCTGGCAGGACGAGACAAGCCAGGGCAGTCATACCAGGGCAGTCGTTAGGGGTGAATGCAAGATGACTGGGGAAGAGGCTTCACGGAGATCGTCACTAAGAGAAGGAAGCCGAAGGACAAACGCTCAAGGAAAGGTTTTAGGCGAGAGCTGCAGAAATGTTGAATTACTTCGCTGTTTCATTCTTTTATTCAAATCTATTTTTTTTTTTTTAAATCAGAATCGTCTCAAGAACCATCTTTATTTCCAAGAGTTGGAGGATAGTTGCTTTTTTTTTTTTTTTAATTTGACAGGTAGAGCTATAGACAGCGAGAGAGAGAATGTCTTTTATCCACTAGTTTACCCCCCAAATGGCTGCCACGGCCGGTGCTGCGCTGATCTGAAGCCAGGAGCCAGGTGCTTCTTCCTGGTCTCCCATGCAGATGCAGATGCAGGGACCCAGGCACTCGGGCCATCCTCCACTGCCATCCCGGGCCACAGCAGAGAGCTGGACTGGAAGAGGAGCAACTGGGACTAGAACCTGGCATTCATATGGGATGCTGGTGCCGCACGCGGAGGATCAACCAAGTGAGCCACAGCGCCAGCCCTCAAATTTATTTCTTTTTGCCCCCAAAGGTTTGAAAGGCAGAGTTATGGGGGAAGAAGGAAAGGGAGGGAGGGAAGGAGGGAGGGAGAGAGGGAGAGAGAAATATTCCTGTTTGTTGGTTCACTCCCTAAATGCTCACAATGGCAGGGGCTAGGCCAGGTCAAAGACAGGAGCCTGGACTCCATCCAGGTCTCCCACGTGGGTGGCAAGGGGCCCACACACTTTGGTCATCTCCTGCTGTTTTCCTGGCTGCATTAGCAGGGAGCTGGATTTGAAGTGGAGCAGCGGGGACTCAAAGTGCCACTCCCGTGGGACACCAGCATTGCAGGTGGTGGCTTAACTCACCGTGCCACAAGGCTGGTACCGCAGATCTACTCACTTTTCAAAGTGTCTTATCCTTGGTCCTATTTAGCTACTGTTTTAGTTCTTTAAACATTTCTACATACCTGTATCACATTCTGCATTAGGTTAAGTTCACTCAATCTTTGCAAGTCTGGTTTCCTGTGTTTTTTCAGTCTCGCCGTGTATTTGCGAGCCCAAGATTCTGAGTGCCATCCGGGAGAATTACTGGACAGGGGTTAAGATGTGTTCTTCCAGACAACCTGTGCTGCCTCCTACTAGCCACTGGCGGCCACCATGAACTGGACACGGCTTTAAACCGCCCCCACACCTGATTTTCTCCAAGAAGGAGCAGCTTGTGGTCTGGGCTGAGAGGACCCTCCTTTCTGTCTGCCCCTCCTGCAGTCCCTGAGCCAGTGTGGAGGAAGTGGGTTTCCAATCTTTCTTTTTTTAAGATTTATTTATTTGAAAGTCAGAGTTACACAGAGACAGAGAGAAGGAGAAGGAAAGGGAGGGGGGCGGGGAGAGAGAATCTTCCACCTGCTGGTTCACTTCCCAATTGGCTGCAATGGCTGGAGCTGCGCCGATCTGAAGCCAGAAGCCAGGAGCTTCTGGGTCTCCCACGCAGATGCAGGGGCCCAAGGACTTGGGCCATCTTCTACTGCTTTCCCAGGCCACAGCAGAGAGCTGGATCAGAAGTGGAGCAGCTGGGACTGGAACCAGCGCCCAAGCGGGATGCCAGCACTGCAGGCGGTGGCTTTATTCACTAGGCCACAGTGCTGGCTCCTCCCATCTTTCTTGGAGGCAGGTTTCTGAGAAGCTCACCATTTTTGAGGGAGGCACCTTTTGTGTGCTTTCTGGGTACTGGCTTAAGTTCCCACACAGAGAGACTCAGAGCTTTGACTTCTGCTTACAGCCAGGTTTCTAGAAGTGACAAGTGCTACAGGGCCAACTGCCAGCTGGTACCACAGGCAGATCCTCTGCATACGGCTTCCTGTTATTTTCAACTCTTAGTAATTCCCTGTTATCCCAGCTATTTAAAAACAGGGGCTGGCATTATGGCAAAGCAGCTAAGGTTGCTGCCTGCGGCGCCAGCATCCCATGTGGGTGCCGATTCATGTCCTGGTTGCTCCTCTTCCAATCCAGCTCCCTAATGGCCTGGGAAAGCAGTGCAGCACAGCCCAAGTGCTTGGCCCCTGCAGCCACGTGGGAGACTTGGAAGCAGCTCCTGGCTTCAGCGTGGCTACTGTGGCCAACTGGGGAGTGAACCAGTGGATCTGTCTCTCCCTCTAACTCATTCAAATAAATCAATCTTTATATAAGATTAAAAATAAGTTCCACCCAGGTGTATACAAAAAGGGCGCCAAGTCTCAGAAGTCTCAGACGTCTAAGTGGACGCTTCTTCCTCCCCAACATCTGTGGACATCAAACATGCATCGAAAAGAGGAGCTTCGCTGCTTGAAGTGCGTGTCGTGGGCTTTTTCACCAAATCCTTTACCCAAGAGACAGGAGCTGCCCCAGTGGGAAACGCCTCACCTCACCACTCACCAGGTCAGCAGCAGAGTGGACACTGGGCTCCGCTAGGCCGCCCTTCCTAAAGAAAACCAAAGCCAAAGGCTTAAGATAGTTTCTGAAGGAACCAAAGAAAGTGAATGACACTCAAGGCTTTTAAGCTCGCAGACGAGAAGAGCAAAGGTACGGAGCGAAAGGTGACTCAGCTACAAAAACCTGACTTCTGAAACAAAGCACTAAAGAAACAGTGTGGAAAGTACCCCAGTCTTCATGGCTGTCTGAGACCTCGTGTTTAAATATGGCAATGTTCAGTCAAGCTCTCCCCAGGCCCCTGCGAGAAAGTAGCTTTGAATTATCACTATACACAAAAAGTTTATTTTAGAGAACATACATCTTTGAGAAATAACACAGAAGGTGCATGTTCTTACCCTGACCTGGTATTATGCACCACGAGTGCCAGGGTAGTTAATGAGGTGCGCATACTACTGAGTCCATGTAACATTCCCGGCATTTACACCAGCTAAAAACCTAACTGGCTTTCAAAGGGAAAAAAGAAAACCATTTTGGAAACACACAAAAGTATCTTGATCTTGTGACTCTCGGTCCTGAAACTATAGGTCCATGACTGAACCTGCTCTAAAAACTTGAAAAAGTAGGCATTATGATAATTCACAAACCACTGAGAAGAGCCAATGGGATTTACATCGGAAGCGCAGTGTGGTCATTTTGGTTCGTGAGCCAAAGCAGAATACAGAAATGTTAAGGCTCTGCTTTAGTTTCATGGGTTGAAAGTAAGAGTCAGAAAAAGAAGTAGGAAGTTTGGGTTGGGAAGTTTTTGGGAGAAATGGTTAGCCTTGTTCCTATTCAGCAGGTTTCTTTCAGTCTTAGAAAAATAGCACCTACAGACGGCCAAGTTCCAATATCAAAGAGTCAGGATACAAAGGAAAACTGAGTTTATATTCACCATGGACCAAAACAGAGCTCCTTGGAAATCTGAACTAGAACTCTGTGACTTAATACGCTCAGAGACCTGTAGGATAATACCTGAGCAGGATTCTCATGCAGTAACTTCAAGAAGGTTCCTGTAACACAAAGAATCGCTTTTAGTTTAATCTATTTACTGTTTTTATCAAATGATCCCAGATTATATTTCTAGGTACTCTTAACCTAGATCATGAAGTATTTGGCTTCTGGGATAAATATAAAACAAGATTTTTAAGATGGGGTGTTCAGGGTTCTTTGACCAAGCTTAAGAGCTGAATACAGAGAGATACCACCACCTTCTGAAGTCTAAACAACATTTCTATCAGATGGTTAAGACACATCCTCTGAGATGCCTTTACCAGGAGTACATCCAGTGAGAAGTTAGTTCATTCTGAAGAGAATGGAAAAGACTGAAAATTACATAAAAAAGTCAACAGCTATTAATCTTTTGTGAAGATAAGCAACAACTAACTGCAGAATCGGGGCTCACTCATTGGGATTAGATCAGACAAACTTTTGATCACGTTTCCCGTCAAACTGGTATGATCTTTACCGGCTGTATACTGGAGTGGTGCAGGTCCTGGTAATGTGGGAGGTGTGACGAGAGCCAGCTCCCAGAGGCCGTGGGGAAAGCCGGCCAGTTGTTCTACTGAAGCGGAAAATACAGAACACTGACACTGCAGGTCCGAGCTTTATTAGAATGATGTCACTTCCGGATAGAATCAAGGGATTCTCAAAACTGGTTTCAGTGCGGCAGTGCCGCAGATCCTCACAGCTAAATGCCTACGCACCTGCCAAACGTATCTGCAAACACAGAGAGGAGCAGCACAGGCGGGAAGGCTGACCAAAGGAAAATTCTCGATGACAGACTCCCTTGTGATCTAGAAAGCACTTTAATTCTCTATCCTTCAAATGATCGAGATATTCAAAAGAAACAGCAAGTCCTGTATGTACAAAGCCGATGAAAATCACACTGTAATAATCAGTGAATGTAGAACTGCACGGATCTGTTTCCAGCTTTTTCCACCATGATTATACATCAAGGTAAAAAAAGATTCTCTTGTACAAATCCAAGGATGTCGACAGAGGTGGCAGCACACTGCCAGAGATGGTACAATGCCTTACTACTGGAGCTGGAAACAGGGCACGGGGAGGGAGGGCGGAGTCCTTGGGGAAAGAACCCTCCGCGCCACAGCGCTCAGTCAGTGGTCGACCTCCTGTACCAAAAGCGCGCTCTGAAGTCGTCGCTGCACGTCATGAAGCCGGGGTTGGTGGGTGAGTGCACGATGCAGCGCACGATGTTGTTGTGCCCCAAGGAGAGCAGGTTTCTCCGCTCGGCTGTCCTCGAGTCCCAGCAGCAGAGACTGATCGTCCTTTCGTCCGGCAGCAGCACGTAGTCCTCGGTGTGGTTGAACACGGCCTGAGTCCGGTGCACCTGCCGGCCACTCAACCCCGCACCTGCCGCAGAAACAAGAGGTTATAGGCCTGCGGACAGAGGGTCAGCTTTTTAAATTCACCTCTCACCCGCACAAGGCTTTGTTCTTAATCCTTGCACTGTAAAACCATTGACGTGATCGCCTCTTGGGCGCCCCCCTGAGGCAACATTGTTAATGGTCTGATGTACTTCTGGGCATAAAGCACAATTTTTTTTCCTAAGATTTATTTATTTATTTGAAATTCAAGAGTTACACGGAGGCAGAGGCAGAGAGAGAGAGGTCTTCCATCCGCTGGTTCACTCCCCAGATGGCCGCAGCAGCCAGAGCTGCGCTGATCTGACGCCTGGAGCCTATTCTGGATCTCCCACGCAGGTAAAGCACAATTTGTAAAATACAAAACTAGGAAGCCAGCGCTGTGGCACAGTGAGTTCCCAGTTTCGCATATCTGATTGCCAGTTCAGTCCCGGCTGCAGGACTTCCAATCCAGCTTCCTGCTAATGTACCTTGGATGGAGTTCTAGGTTCCTGGCTTCTGCTTGGCCCAGACCTGACTACTGCAGCCATGGGGCATGAACCAGTGGATGGAAGACCTATCACTCTGCAAATATTTTAAAAAAAGTATGAAACTGATGGCGCATTTTTTTTTCTATTATAGTTTAAAACAGCTTTATGCCAGGCACATTTTAAAAAAAAGAGTATACATGGGGCCAGCATTGTGGACCCATGGATGGAAATCTTTGATTCTGCTTTTCAAATAAATAAATTAATCTTTGGCCAGCGCCGCAGCTCAATAGGCTAATCCTCCACCTAGCAGCACTGGCACACCGGGTTCTAGTCCCGGTTGGAGCGCTGGATTCTGTCCCGGTTGCCCCTCTTCCAGGCCAGCTCTCTGCTGTGGCCCGGGAAGGCAGTGGAGGATGGCCCAAGTGCTTGGGCCCTGCACCCCGTGGGAGACCAGGAGAAGCACCTGGCTCCTGCTTTCGGATCAGCGTGGTGCGCCGGCCACAGCACGCCAGCCGTGGCGGCCATTGGAGGGTGAACCAACGGCAAAAGGAAGACCTTTCTCTCTGTCTCTCTCTATCCACTCTGTCAAAAAAATAAATAAATAAATAAATAAATGAATCTTTACAAAAATATTTGAAAAGTAGAGTGTTTAGGGGTGGAGGGAGAGAGATAAGAGCTAGATCTTCCATCCCATGGCTCACTCCCCAAATGGCTGCCAGCAACCAGGGCTGGGCCAGGCCGAAGCCAGGAGCCATGAACTCAGCCCAGGTCTCCCTCCCACGTAAGTGGTAGGGTCCCAAGCATTTAGGCTATCTTCTGCTACCTTCCCAGGTATGTCAGCAATCAGATACACTGTTTCATGTCCTTTGTTAGATGTCAAGCACCCATGTGCAAAAGCACCATTACTTATTTAATAGGTCTTTTACCGCTAGACACACAGTTCACATCAGTTTTAAGTGAGCTTGAAACATCCTTTGTGCAGATAGCCTTACTTCCTTAGGGTTAAACTCGACAAACAGAATCAGAGACGAAAGTGTAAGAACATCTGCTTTCTACAAGATTGATGTTTTTAAGACTACTAATAAGATACATATTTCACGTTTAAAGAACTATATAAAACGGGGCGATAACCTTTCAAGTAGCTAGGGCCATCTGGATCCTCGCAGGCCATCCTGCTCGAAATCTCAGGTCCCGCCTGCGGTGCCTTGGCAGGACCAGAGCAATGGATTTCCTGGGCCTCATACAATCTGCGGGCCACATAGCCCACACCCGATATGAAAAACAAACGCTACGCAGTAACGTCACTACCCAGAGGGGCAGCTGTCAGTACTCTGGTGGGTATCCTTTCCAGATGGTTCTGCGTGGTACTCACTCGTGAACTGCCCGAGTCAGAGCACGTCACGTGCTATCTTCATTCTCGGGTGTGCAGTGCAGAGCTACAGAGGGTGAAAGTGCAAGCTCTGTGGTAAGATGTGAATTCAACACTTGTGATGGGAGCTGGGCAGGCCTGTTAACACCCCTACCCTTTACTTTTCTCACCTGTTCAGTGGGGAAAACTATCGTCACCCATGGAGTTGCTGGGAGGACTGAAATGAAGTAAGCACAAGCTTTTGGGGAAGGTGCTGTGGCGCAGCAGGTTAACGCCGTGGCCTGAAGCACCGGCATCCCATATGGGTGCTGTTTTGGGACCTGGCTGCTCCAATCCAGCTCTTTGCTATGGCCTGGGATAGCAGTGGAGGATGGCCCAAGTTCTTGGGCCCCTGCACCTGTGTGGGAGACCCAGAAGAAACTCCTGGCTCTGGGTTGGCACAGCTCCAGCCGCTGTGGCCAATTGGGGAGTGAACCAGCGGATGGAAGACCCCTCTCTCTCTCTCTCTCCCTCGCTCCCTCCCTCCCTCTCCTCTCTCCATGTAACTCTGACTTTCAAATAAATAAATAAATCTTAAAAACACACACACACACAAATGCACAAGTTCTACAGTCTCAGGTATCAATCTGTGGTCAGGGTCATTCATAAAGGCCAAGGGCCACCCACAGACATGTAACAGGTACCTGTACTCAAGGAGCCGGTGCTGTGGCGCAGTGGGTTAACGCCCTGGCCTGAAGCGCCCGCATCCCATATGGGCGCTGGTTCTAGTCCTGGCAAAGCAGTGGAAGATGGCCCAAGTCCTTGGGTCCCTGCACCCACGTGGGAGACCCAGAAGAAGCTCCTGGCTCCTGGCTTTGGGTTGGCACAGCTCTGGCTGTTGCGGCCAATTGGGGAGTGAACCATCGGATGGAAGCCCCCTCTGTCTCTCCTCTCTGACTTTCAAATAAATAAATAAATCTTTACAAGAGTCAGCCAAGATCTTCCCTCCCAGCCCTTCTTACACAATTACTGAGAGCCACCAACAGATGTTTTTTCCTGGATTGCTCTCAAGTATCTGTGGGAAAAACGCAGGCTGCCGTCTACACACAGACCACACAGTTCCTAAACACTACGTGTGTGGAATCTAGACCTCCTCTAAGCTGTGCTGCACTGAGAAGAGCAAAGTCAAGAAACCGCAGTTCCTATTCCCGGCACTGCCTCTTACGTAACTGCAGGCTTGGCTGTGCACTGTGGCTTCCAGGTCCTGGTCTCCTCGTGTCTACAGTAGGGTCACACCTGCCGTGCTCTATGAAGCTGTACTGTGTTGCTCTACTGTGAGCACCTCACAGAAGCTTCAGGAAACTGCAAACCACCACTGAAAACGTTAAATGATATCAACGTCTCACATACCCGTGTATCTGACCAGCGTTCGTCCTGTTGATATTTCCCAAAGTTTAGCAACAGAGTCTTTTCCACTTGAGAGGATGTATTTAGAATTTTTGGAAAAAATGGCAGAGCAAACTTCAGCCCCATCATGTGCCTTCTCAAAAGTCGTGATGCACCGGTTAGAGACTCCATCCCACAGCTTGATGCAGCCGTCCTTGCTGCCAGTCACATACATGTTGGCACTCGGATTGTAATTGACAGAGCATATGGCGTCGGTGTGCTGGTCCTGAGGATTGCAGGACACAAAGCACTGGAAGGTGTTGATGTCATACAGGCGGAGGGTGGGGTGCTGAGTGCCGACGAGGATGAAGTCTCCGGAAGGGTGGAAAGAGATGGAGCGCAACATCTCCGCTTCCTGTCAGGACAGAGACATCAACGTGAGCGGCTCAGGCCTCAACGACCACACCCGCAGGAAATGTGGAGAACTGCGGCGGACGCAAAGAATCCATAAAGCAACTGTCAGATGCTACAAGGCATCAGAAGGAATACACGCACTTTCTGGAATATATGAAAGCACCGTTTGAACAACAGATTTCCAAAACTAACTATTCATTGCTCAGAGAGTCCAAAAGCTACAGACGCGGGCTTTATTCTCTGTAAGTGAACACCAGGTGAACTCAGAGCATATTTATTATGACACATTCATACACGGTTACTGAATGAAGATAAACTTAATTTGTATGTAAGAACAGCATCTTCAATTTGCTCTAGAACTGTAAACACTGACTGAAAAATTAAGTTTAATTACTGAAAGATGGAGGCCACTACTAAAGTAGCAGTTTTAGTATTTCTGCAATGCACAAAGTCACATTTCCAGTAAGCACTTGATAGTTTCAATGGAATGCTTTTCTGATCCCTGTCAGTCACAATTCTCTGAGGGCGGCTGTTGTTTTTACCGAGTGACAGGGACTCCAGCCTGTCGCATGACTGTGGCCTGCAGCAGTACTGACCGCCAGAGGAAGCAAGCACACAACAGCACGTGGGCTAGCACCATGTGCCAACTGGCAGGCGTCCTGGTTGCTGCAGCCTTGCTTTGTGGGATAACCACCGAGAACATGTTTAAAGAGTGATTAGTCAGAAAACAGCTCACTGTACTTGAGAAGAAACGTAAAAAGCTCCTTGCTAAACATTCCCAACCTGAATATATTTGAAGGCCCTTTTTGCAGATGGTTTGGAATAATCGAATAATTTCAGAGTATAATCCCTCGAGCCAGAGGCCAGGATCTGTTCTGTTGGGTGGAAAGCGAGACATGTGACTTCATCCACATGGTCGTAGAGAGTTCGAATCACGGGGTGGTTTTCCATATTCTGTTGTGCAGTCTCATTCATCATGACCTAGACCGATAAGAGGAGATGTTGAAGGTACAGAACCCGCATGAATCCCATCAGACACAACAAAGGTGCCTACACCGCACGCTTGTTCTCCAAGAAGGAACAATGGCAGCAACCGTCAGTGCGCTCCTCGCTCCTTACCTCTATCGGCATGGCACTTTTGGCCAACATCCTTTCGGTGTCAAGTATCTTTATGGAGGCATCGGCAGAGCCCGTGGCGATCAACTGCCCATCTCTACTATAGGTAGCCACGCGGCACGGTCCCTTATGAGATGTGACATAGCACGTTTCATACTCGGAAGCCTCTGGGGACATGGTCTGGACATCTGCATCAAATTCCAGGTCGATCCCTGTGCCAGGGGCAACTGTGTCTGATCGGCCGATCGCATACTGAACGGCGGTATCATCATTTTCCATTCCTGAGAGAAACCAAAATGAGGGCATGAAGAAAAAAATGTGTATCTTTTTGTTAAAAGCCAAGACAAAGTTCTGGATCAAAACTGAAAAGACATTTGCCAACGTCATCTTACTGTTCCTTGGAGTTGCATGAACACCTAACGCTGTACAGTACTATGCACACATCCATCCTACCCAGAGCTCACAACACCGAGAGGCAACATGGGTTTGGGGAGAGTTAGGCTTCAACAGACAAAGTCATTTCCTAGGTTTGTACCTCAAAAATTTGTTACTTTCACTACAGTTACAAAAAGTCAAAAACAAAGGAATATTCTGGGGTTCAAGTATCCATTTCCTCTCCACTCCAAAGTTTAGTATTTGGAGGCTGAGGTCTGTTAGCAGCAGCTCTGAAGCTCGATAAGTCATCGACAGGGTCAACACTAACGCCAGTGAAATGCTGAAGGAATGTGGTATTCGAATAAAGTGCACTTTCTCAAGGACGTTATTTGATATTTATTAAGATTAAGCATCCTCATTGACAGTCCAGAAACAGAGTCCTTGCTGACTGGACACACACATCTAAAGCAGTTAAAAGGGATTCTTCAGTTTTCAATGACAAGATAGGCAACAAGAACACACTCACAGGTTCTAGATGAATTCTTCTGTTCTTTCCAGAAAAATGGGATTTTGCTACTAAGCCATTCCCCAAACAATAAGGAAAGATAGTTTTTCAAAAAGCCAGCAAAAATCAAAAATGGCAATCTAGGTATCAAGCAAAACTTATCACCCAACACACTGCTGTTGCAACACAGCGTAGCCGAGCCTAATCACCGTAGTGCTTTAGAGAACTTTAAGAACTCAGGACCTTACCAGTGTACTACAGCGCTGTGGACAAGTTCAGAAACCAGATAACTGAGGCCAGTGCTGGGGTGCAGCTGGTTAAAGCCCCGGCCTGAAGTGCCGGCATCCCACATGGGTGCCAGTTCTAGTCCCAACTGCTGCTCTTCTGACCCAGCTCTCTGCTATGGCCTGGGAAAGCAGTAGAAGACGACCCAAGTCCCCGGGCCCCTGGACTCCCGTGGGAGACCCAGACGAAGCTCCAGGCTCCTGGCTTCAGATCAGCCCAGCTCTGGCCGCTGTGGCCATTCAGGAAGTGAATCAGTGGATGGAAGACCTCTCTCTCTAACTCTGTATTTCAAATAAATAAAAATAAACCTCAAAAAAAAAAAAAAAAAAAAAAAAAAAAAAAAAAAAAAAAAAAGACAGCTTGTTCTGCCTGGGAATATGTTAGGCCTTCCACCATCTCCACAGAGCAAATAAGACCATGTGCTGCTGGAATCAGTGCTAAAATTGACAACGCCATGTTTTAAATTTAAAAATACCTTCACATCTCACATAAACAATGCAACTACTGGTACAGGAGAAATCAGGACCATAGATGAACAAGATAAAAGATGACTTTGAAGTTTACCATCCAGAGATAATTACCAATATCGTGGTATGAATTCTAGACCTTCCCCGTCCACAGTTAATTTTTTCTAAACAAAAATAGACCCATTCTGTGTAACATGCTGTGATTAATTTGCTCACTTAATCATACATAATAAAAATCTGTCCAGGCTAATAAACATTCATCTACAGCATTATTATGTTACACTAGTTAGCTTTATGGGTTATTTAAAAGTATATAGCTAATTCGGAGTGTTGGGCCAGCTGGTTCATTTATTTTATTTCCTCAGGACAAAGTGTCACAATTGGCACGCCTAAGTCAGAGAGTATAAACATGCATGGTAATCCCACGTTTTACCGAGTGCTGGGATGTAACTGAACAAGACAAAGTTCTGATCTTGAGAAAACTTGCAGTGTTTCTGGGGGCTGGGAACAGGGAATGGGGAGGTGAGAGGCCGTGGGAAACCACCCACACAACAAGGGAAATTTCAGACGACGATGCTGCTGGGAAGGACATGTGACTGTGTGGTCATCGGGGAAGGATGGGCAGACCGCGAGATTACTTTACGAGGGATGAAGAGGACTCTGAGCCGACAGCTGAGCTCAGTCTTGAAGGAAGTCACCAGTCACAGCAGAAGCTCCCGATAAAGCACATGGAGCCCAGGCTGGAACCCCCTGAACACCCGGTAATGTGGAATTCGATTCCTCCAGTACTCAGCACCCGACACACAGGGAACAGCCCTCACGGCTTCCGCCTCGTGGAAGCACCCAACCCTGCTCGGGGCTGCCTCTGGATTCCCGAGCTACCTAGTTTGATGAGATGCAGGAGCTGCTCGGAGGGCGCACAGACCGACTGCGGCTTGATCTCGTTGATGAGGCCGTTGGCGATGCTGATGTAGCCGTCATAGAGCAGCTGGCTGATGATGAGCTTGTACAGCTGCTGGCGGTCCTTCAGGCCCACTTTGGTTCTGTACATCCTGGGGGTGAGGACAGCGTCCCTGCCAGCTGCAAGAAAACAGGTGGACGGTGACGCACCGCTCAGTCAGCCGCCACGCAGGGTCTCCCTCAGGCTGTAAATCCCTGCTCTGCGGCTGCAGAATCTCGGGTCAGGGCCATCACTCCCCTGAGCCAGCTTCCGCAGGTGGTAACTAAGAGAAGACGGCATAAGCTGCATGGCAAGCACTGGGTACAGCCCCGGCACCCAGGAATCGCTCACGCCGGCCACCACGTGCAGTGGGACCCCTCACCGGTTCTCCTCTGCACGGGTACCCCAGAGTCTTCCATTTCTCTGGTCAACACTGACCCGTGCTTGCAACAGGCAAGACAACTGCTCTTCTGTCCAATGTCTAGGTTAGTTTCCATCAGCTGAGCCGCGTTTGCCCGTGTCTGTTACCTTCAGTCTTAACACCTGCTTTAGGGCACGTGCGCTTGTGACTAATTGTGTGATTTAAAGGTGAGCTACTTACTAAGCCTTTCCGAGAAGAGATACAGCAAAGACAACTATAAAAATAGAAACGATATAAAGATCCAGACTGATTCACGAGTACCCAAGTTTCCTTCAATGTTAGTTAAATGTAGAACTAGATGATGGCCCCTGGTTTATACAAACAAGAACGCTAGCTGGTGGACTTCCCCAGATAATCTGACGAATCAGTGTCTAGGGCTAGGACTGGACCTAACGGCTAGGACGCCCCAGGGCATCCGATGTCCGAGCGCGGGTCGAGTCCCGGGGCTGCTGCCGCCAGCTTCCTGCGGGCCTGTGCCACCCACACACAGAAGTCTCCGAGGCTGGCCCTGGCCTGGCTTAGCCAAGCTGCTGTGGGCTTCTGGGGAGTGAATCAGCAGGTAGGAAGTAAATTAAATACGAATATCTGTACGTATACGCATGTCTGGGCAGACACGGGAAGGCTGCAGGTGTCTGTAACTGTAATGAAAATAAGAGCGACTTCAGAGCCCGAGTTCTAACTACCGGTGGGCCCTACAGCACCAGTGCTTCCTGATGCGCGGGTTAACTGTCGGATACGGGGCGGGCACTCTGTAAAGGCCCACGCCCGTGCAGGCGACGCCGGGACCCAACGGAGCCGACGCAGCGGGCTCACAGGGGTCGGGACGCCCGCTCCAGTGCAAGGGTGGCCGAGCAACTCCCCCGGGACGCGACCACCACCCTGTCCCGTCTCCACGCTTGCAGGCGCGCATCGTGCCGGGTAGGAAGGGCTTAAAGGAACAAAAAGGCGAAAGGGTCGGTCAAGCCGCCGCACCGGCCCAGTTTGCAGGTGAGGACACTGAGGCACGAGGGCAGAAGAACCCGACCCGCCACGGTGTCAGAGGGGCCAGGTGGCGCAGAGGCGACCTCGAGCTGGGGTCGGGCTGGGAGCGAGGCCCTGGGGAAGGGGAAAGGGTGTGCAGGCCCACCGCGCAACTCGGGGCGCCAGCTCGGGGCGCCCGCCACCTCGCTCACTCTCGACCTTCCCGCCTCGCCCCGGCCCTTCGGGTGGTCCACTAAAGGGCCCAGACGACCACCCCAGCCACTCCTGCCGTACCCCCGGACCCCCATACCCGCAGATCCGGCTCTCTCGCTCTCCCGCTCTCTCCGAGAAAAATGGAGGCGCGAATCCTGCCCAATCGATCGCTCCGGGCGCACGTTTGCTGCGCACGCGCGAAGGGCGCCACGCCGAGCGCTGCGTTATCGATGGGTCCCAATCTCCCTTGTGCTTCTCGCCATCTTACTTACTGGCACGTTCGAGCGCTTCCTTCGCCAATTCCGACTTTATCTCCTATGGGACATTCCTGACTCCAAGGGGCTGTAGTCTCATGGGCAAATGCCTGATCCCAGAGAGCAGCGCGGGGGTTAGAACGGGCACTGGCCGGACGGGCCGTTGGCTCCCCCACTTCCGGGGTCTCACGGGGCAAGTGCGCCTGCGCGCCGTCTGCGCCGCCGTGCTTGTTGTGAGCCAATCACAAAGTGACTCGCTGTAGCTCAGGCCAATCAGCTTTCGGGTTGGAGGGTTTAACTCCTATTTAAAATGAAAAACCTTTGAATCCTAACGGCTGAGCGCTGGGAAGGACACCGCGCCTCTGCGTCGGAGGCGAGGGTCAGCCGGTGGGTAGACCGTGGGGGGCAGCTCTGCGAGTGGGAGCCGGGACGAGGGGCGCCGGCTGGGGCGGGCGGGATCGGGCAGAGCCGCGGCGGCGCATTCCCTCGGCGCCGGGCGCCCGGGGAGACGCACCTGAGGGGCGTCCGGCGTGAGTCCTGGGGGTTTGGGGTTCACGCCGCAGTGGTGGTGGTGGTGAGGTAGGGGCGGCGGAGGAAGTGACAGAGCCGTGCGCGCGTGTGGCTCCCGGCGGGGACAGCAGCCGGGGGAGCCTGTGCGGGCCGGAGCCGGCAGCAGCGGTATCGGGACCGCGTGAGGTCCTCGTTACCCGCACGGCCGCGCCCCTCGGGGGACAGACAGGGGCCGGTGCGTGTCGGCCGACCGGCCGGCGGTGTCCAGCGCGGCGTGCGGTTTACGCGTCCCGGTCCGTTTCTAACGGACGTCCGGGGAGGCCCGCGGAGCTGCCGCGTAACTCCCCCGGTTTGCTGAATTGAAAGCTTGCCGGCGGCACACGGGGTCCCCGGCCCGTGCCCTCCGTCCCCGCGCACCGCCGCAGGTCGGGGGAGGGGAAGTAGGAGCCCCCTGTAGGATGAGGGGGTCGCGGGGTCGGCCCGAATGGGCCCTCGAGGGGCTCCTGGCCTCGTGGGTGCTGGATCTGCAGACGCTGCCTTGCAGGCGTCTCTCCGCAGGGTGCTGGATTCGTAGCCCGCTGCGTTCTGCTTGTCCTTCGTCTGCCTGAGCGAGAGCCCGGAGTAAGCGGGAGCAAAGGCCTGTAGGTGTTTCCGGAAGAATTGAGGTCTGCGTGGGCCGGGTACGAGGGCTGTGACCTGGACTTGTTCTGGACGGTGCAGCAAAGCATTGCAACGTGTCTGCAGCCCTGAGTGCCTAACGCACGCTTGCGTTTCCTTGTGGTTACTCTTACTAACCCCCCGTTTCATGTGAGGGCAGACCCGTCTGCATTGTGGAGCTGATATTGTGGGGCTGGGGAGCGCTGTCTGGTTGCATTCCAGAATTCTGATAAGAGGTGTGCTGACTCCCAGTGCGGGCTCACCGAACGTTGTAAACGATACTTGTTGTTGGTTCCCTTCGTCAGGGGGTTGAGTTACTCTCAGCACTGGCGCGTGTGCAAACGTGCTAGACGTGGTTCCGGTTCTGGGACAGCGATAGAGGACCAAGTGGAGCCAAGCCCTGCTCTCACGGAACTTCCTCCTCCACCTGCCTGGCCTGGGAGGGGGACAGTAAGCAGATGTGCGTCTGTGTCAGGCGTCAGTGCAGTGGGGAGGTGGTCCCTGAAGGGAGCGTTTCCGCAAAGACCTGAGTGAGGTGTGAATGAGCTGCACTTGGGCAGAGGGAACAGGAAGTGCGAAGGCCCAGCGGAGGGAAGCAAGGGGCCGTGTGCAGGCAGGAGAGGCGCTGGGTCAGGGGCGGCCGCCTATCTGCAGGTAGGGGTCCGAATTGTTTTTTCTTTAGAGTTGGGAGTGTGGGGGGCAGGGGGCTTCTGAACCCGGGGCCACACAGCTGTTTGTTAGTGAGCTCACTAGCCGCAGTGATGAGGAGGAGGGAGCCGGGCAAGGCTGAAGTGGGCGACCTTCGGGCCGCCTGTGGGTGGAGCAGATGGCAGTAGAGGTGGTGAGCAGTGCCTGATTTTTTTTTTTTTTGGAAGGTAGAGTCAACAGAATCTGAACGGATGGGACACGTTTGAGAAGGGGAACCACATCGTGATACGCTGAGGCTTTTGGCCTGAGCAGCAGCAGGATGGGTTCACTGTCAGCTTGGGGAAAGTGTGAGAACGGATTTAGGGTGGCAGGTGAGGGGTTTGGGACTTCAGTTTGGGACATTAAAATTGTTGCATAGAAAGTAGGAAATCTAGAGCCTGCAGTGGAGGCGACAGGTCTGGGCGGGAGGTGGACATTGGGTGTTCCATGTCGGAGGGTATTGAAAGCCCAGAGATTGGATGAACTTGCCTGGTGAGTGAGTGTCCGTAGACACGGTCTGCACTTGAGCTCAGGGTGCGTTCGTGAGTAGTGAAGGAAAAGCCCATGGAGAGAGGAGGCTCTGTTAGAGACGTTAGTGCTGGGGTACCTGGCACATGTGTCTGTGGGGTCCTAAGTAGGTAGTTGATATCCGGGTTCAGTAGTCCAAGGAGAGGTTAAGGCAGATGATGCATTTTGGGTTAAATTAATGGAGATTTTAGAGGTTTTAGAACTAATGGGTGAGAGTCCCTAGGAAGGGTGTGGATGAGAAGTGGAGGGCCAAGGACTCATTCCTGGGTCAAGCCAGACTCTCAGATTGAAAACAGCGAGGCCGGTCTGGCAGTGAGGGCTGAGATGGAACCCCCGGCAGGTGGGCGATGAGCCTGGCCCCTAGTGAGAAAAGGGCGTTGTCGAGTGCTGCCGCGGACTTGGGGGGCTGAGCGTTGGCTTTGGCATCCGTAGGGGTCAGCCAGGAGTCTGACGCGGTGGTGCGGATGAAGCCCAGGGGGAGTGGCTGGGACAGTGTGGTGGTCTTCTGGGGCTTTCTGGTAAAGGACTTTAAGGTGACCCGTCCGAGACGAGATGCTGGAGCAGCCGGCGAGATGAGTGTCCACGGTGGAGTGTGAGTGCCACAGGCCTTGGGCTGCGGTGGGCGAGGGGAGAGGTTGGCCTTTCGGGAAAAGCCACAAGCTGTGCATCACTCGCATCGTGGGGAAGGACACTCCTGCCTCATCAGTTGTGTTTGCACAAAGAAAAGTGTAAAATGCTGTGTGCTGCGGAAGCCTTTTCATCAGGAGCTGTAACCCTGCCTAGAATAATAACAATGCTTTGAAAATACACGGCTTTGTTTAACGGTTTTTCCCCCCTCTTTCTAGGCATCATGGAAAGATCCAAAGAAAACTGCATTTCAGGGCCTATTAAGGTAAACAGAAAAGTCTAATTGCGATCAGCTCATAGACTCATGGGGCTCAGGCTCCTGGAGTTCTTCCCACCTTTGCTTTGGATTGTAACTTTACTGGACTTGACTGATGCCTGTGGTGTTGTGGCCACCATGCCTACTGCAGGAGTAGCTGGTGTTGTATTTGGAAGCCTGACGCCCTCTCTTTGTAAGCACTCACACCAGTGAGCTGGCGGTGGGTTTGGGGCTTTTCCTTCTTTCCTTCCCCCCCATTATGATGGGCTCCTGGCTGGAGAAAATCTCACCCACCCCACCCCATCATTTTAATTAGATCAGCTCAGGGTTTTAGAGCTGGGTAAACCACTGGACCCTACAGTACACTGCTTACAGGCATGTCAATAATACGTTTTAATAAAACTTCCTGCAGGGGGCATTTGCTTCCTCTTTGTCAGTGTTCTTTTTGCTTGAGTCTGTTTTGTAAGTACTTGAAAAATGAGATATTGGCCAATAATAGTAATAAGCTTATTGTGGAAAATCTAGCACATACCAAAATTTGGATTATCTTCTAAAACTTAACGATAACCACTGTTGGACATTTTGACGATTTCAGTCTTTTTTCCAAACACACGTGTGGAAGAAACGTCAGTGGAATTGGGATTTGAGTATAAAGTGTTCGTACTGTGGCCCTTGCCGAGTAACCATGAAGGCGTGTGTCCCAAGACTCTGCGCTTTCTCAGTGCTCAGTGTTCATGGTGACTTGTGCAGTGAGGCGTGGGGGCGGGCAGGAGGTGTCACTCAGACACCTTGGCGCTGTATGCCAACTGCCCTCCGGAAGTGTTTCTCAAGGTAGGCTGTCCCTTCTGTCTGTTGTCAGTGGCGGCATCTTGTTCTACTAGAACGCACACTTGCGGTCTCAAAGCACTCGCCTCTCATTCATGACGACCATGAAGTTTATTTTCTCTCCCTTCCTAGGCTGCAGCTCTCCTCGGTGATGGCCCAAAACGCGTTCCAGTGACTCAGCGTTTTCCTTCTCAGAATCCGGTGTCTGCGTGTAGTGGCCAGGCCGAGCGGGTCTTGTGTCCTTCGAATTCCTCCCAGCGGGTCCCTTCGCAGGCACAGAAGCTCCTCCCTGCTGAGAAGCCTGTGCAGAAGCTGAAGCAGGCACAGGCGGCCAGTGTGCCTCGACCTGTCTCCAAGCCACCAAATAACACCCCGAAGAGCGAGCAGCCCCCACCGTCAGCACCCGGTAAGCTCCCTTGTGGAGACTGGCTGTTCTTTCCAGTTGCTGCTCGGAGAGCACATGATTGGCCATGTACAGCTTTACACCATTGTCCACTGAGGGTGGGAAGAACCTGAGAAGGGACAGTGCCCACTGGGCTGGCCAGTGCTGAAGCACTGCCGGGTTCCCATCTGCGCAGAGGAACTGGGCAGCCAGGGACACAGCGCCAATCCCATGTCCTGTCCTTTGCTTGTGTGGGGTTTGTGGTGTCAGGAGCTTGTGGCAGGCGCAGAACTGAGGAGCTGCAGAGCTCCAGTGCATGGGGAGGGTCTGGAGAAGTGGGGGCACTGAGGCAGCTCCGGGAGAGGGCACCAGGGCACCGCTGGCTTGGGAAGGACTGGGGCGTCATCTTGGCGCGTTGGGAAGGTGCTAAAGGTCTTTTGAGCAGGGAAGGGACGAGTTCACCTTTTAGAAAGCTCGTTCTGTGTGTGGTGAACGACTCGGAGAGTAGAGGGCTGGATCCAGGGCTGCTCCGTAGGAAGAAGGCCGAGGTTGGAGATGCCAGTGACCTGGCCCGGGGGGAGCAGGGTGGACGTTCATCGTGGCTGCTTCCTTCATCCACCTGTCTCATCCAGTCCTCCTCACCACCCCGAAGGTAGCCAGAGTTGGTAACTCCGTTGCACAGAGGAAGCTGAGACTCAGAGCAGTTAACTTGTCCAAGAACAGCCAGGGTGGAGAGGCGCAGACTTGATGGAGGAGGTGATAAATGGGACCTGAGAGATGAGGAAAGCGGATATGGGGGTCGTGGTATAGGGAAGAAAGAGAACTTGCCCTTCACCCTTTAAAGCTTTGAAAATTGAGTCTATAAGTAAACTGACAGTACACAGATTAACAGAAAATAATCATTTTAATTATGTGCATGTGCACAGGAGTCACAAAAATATGAGGCCCAAAGAAGGGCCGGATGGCACCAGGTTAAGTCAGCAGCTGCAAGGCCAGCATCCCATGTGAGTGCTGCCACACTGCCGATCGAGCTCCCTGCTCATGCAACTGGAAAGCGGTGGGAGATGGTCCAAGTGCTTGGGCCCCTTCCCCCATGTGGGAGACACAGATGGAGTTCTAGGACCTGGCTTCAGCCTGGCCCAACCCCGGCCATTGTGGTCATTTAGGGAATAAACCAGCAGATAGAAAATCTTCGTCTCACCCCCTCCCTCGGTATAAAGCTTCCTTTCAAATAAATAATATATAAGAAAAAGGGTGCCGGCATTGCGGCTCACTAGCTAATCCTCTGCCTGCAGCTCCGGCACACCGGGCTCTAGGCCCGGTCGGAGCGCCGGATTCTGTCCTGGTTGCCCCTCTTCCAGGCCAGCTCTCTGCTGTGGCCAGGGAGTGCAGTGGAGGATGGCCCAGGTCCTTGGGCCCTGCACCCCATGGGAGACCAGGATAAGCACCTGGCTCCTGGCTTCGGATCAGCGCGGTGCGCCGGCTGCAGTGTGGAAATAACAGCTTGGACCTGCGGTCTAATACCTGAGCCGAGCGTGCTGACTGTGGTCAGGGCCCCAAGTGTCTGGGATGGGCAAGTGGAGATGTGCCGTGGGATGTCCTGTGGCTGAGGAGGCAGTTGCTCCAGTCCTGTCGCACAACTGGTTTATTGGGCATTTGCTGAGTGGGTGCCTTGGTGCTTCTGCTCTGTTACATGTTCTGGGGCACTTGCTGTAGTCTGTACGTGGCTGGCTCACTCCGTGAGGGAAGATGACAGGTGGTAGCTTGTCGGGCTGGAAGTGGCTTCAGAGAGGGTCTGTGGGGTCTTGGGTGTGTTGCCCCTTTCCTCTGGAACCCTGTGGACTTCATGTGGGAGTCAGGTAAGGGTGTAGCAGTCTTCTTGCTGTGAGAAAACTAAAAGCCCAGATTATTCCTTCTTGGCATACTGCTTCTATTTTAGTTAACATTTTCACAGCCATTCTTTGATTCATTTGTATCCATGACTTTCTGATTGTATATAGTTATTCTAAAAACAGGTTTCAAACTTATTCCATATAGGAAATAATCCTGAAAAGGAACTGACATCAAACCAGAAAAATGAAGAATCTAAAAAGTAAGCTTTTTTGTTTACAAAGCTCTGTGTTCATTTACTAGAGTGCATCGTTTCATTTTAAATTTAGTTAATTTTCTAGATTCCCAATCTTTAAAAAAAGAATGAATTTTAATTGATATTTAGGGACTGAGATGTTTCTCTTAAGTTGCTTTTCAAATTTAGAAAAAAACTTGGATGAATCTGTTAGAGTAACGGTGCTGTCTGCTTCTAGAAGGAAGTGGCTAATACCCAGGGTTTATGTGTGCCTCCATGCTTTAATTCCATTCCTATGCAGTGTGCAGGCCTTAAGCTGTGTCCTGTAGCAGTCTGTACAGATTCTGACAGCGTAAGTAAGATTGTACTTGCTCTTTAGCAGAGGTTGGCGCGAGCGTCTTTCCCAGGTGTTCCCAGTAGACAGCCTGCGTTCTCTGAACTGTCTGGACTACAATGAGGGGGGAAGCCAGACTTTCTTGCATTGAGCTCCCTGGGAAGCTTTGGAACCTCGGTTCTGTGGCTGTCCTGCCCCATCTGTCCTGTGGAGTCCAGCCTGCTTTTGTTCATGGCAGTGGGTCCATGTCTGCTCCGAATGGTTCTGCACACACGGTGTCAGCCTCTCAGGGTGGCAGCTGGCGCTCCACAGAGGGCCGGGAAGCCTTCTTCCCTCGCCAGTTACCCTGTTACGTGGTCTTTGTGTTGTTGTTAGGTCTGGACTGCTGTGCATAGGACAGCCTGGAACATTTCCCAATGTAAAATCCAAATTCTTGCCTTGTCACTGATTCAGTGATGGCGGCTGAGGATGCCACGTTTAATGTTTGTGACTCAATAATGGTTATTGGCTTGGTTTTTGCTGAGGGTGCATGTTGGGTGCAGTTCTGAGTATAAAATTGTAGAATGTGTCTAAAGGTTGGTTTTCCACATTTTAAAATGTTGAATTTCCTTTCTAGAAGGCAGTGGACTTTGGAAGATTTTGACATTGGTCGTCCACTGGGTAAAGGAAAGTTTGGTAATGTTTATTTGGCAAGAGAGAAACAAAGCAAGTTTATCCTGGCCCTCAAAGTGTTATTTAAAGCTCAGCTGGAGAAAGCAGGCGTGGAGCATCAGCTCCGAAGGGAAGTGGAAATCCAGTCCCACCTGCGGTGAGTGCATGAGATCGGGCTGCCGGGCTGTCAGCTAGAGAGGGCCAAGCGTGTAGGCCACAAAGACTGAGTCCTGGTGTCGTTTTTCACAGATGCGGTAGACGTACATGCAGCAGTGCTGAACATCTCCTGAGGGCTTAGTGCTCTCAGTGAGGTCAAATATGTGTGCAAACGTTTGGGGACAGATAATTAAGGGGGATGGCACTTTTTATTCTAGGTTAAGCGCAGGTTGCAAACTGGCAGCCTGCAGATGACATGGGTCAGTGGGGTGGGAGTGTGTGTGTATTGTTTTTGCTTTTATTGCATTTTAAGTATGAATCAGATGCTAATATTTAAAATCTGGCCACATCAGGCCAATACCTTCTGCTGCCAGCACTGGCTAGGGGCAAGCATGTCTGCTGTTTGGGATGGGCTGTGCGCCCCCGGGTCCACACTGAGCCTGGCCAGCCTGTTTAGTGTACCTCTGGCCATTGTGTGCATGGTGCCACACCACTGTGGGATGCCATGTCTTTTTGATATGCAGAAATTGGTATTCCACGGAGCTTCCCTTAGGAGTAAAAATGCCTACAAGAAAGAAGGAATGGTCTCTCTTTTTTAAGATATATTTACTTATTTGAAAGTCAGAGTTACACAGAGAAGGATAGGCAGAGAGAGAGAGGTCTTGTATCCAATGGCTCACTCCCCAGTTGGCCGCAATGGCTGGAGCTGTGCCGATCCGAAGCCAGGAGTCAGGAGCTTCTTCTGGGTCTCCCACGTGGGTGCAGGGGCCCAGGGACTTGGGCCATCTTTTACTGCTTTCCCAGGCCATAGCAGAGAGCTGGATGGGAAGTGGAGCAGTCGGGACTAGAACCGGCGCCCATATGGGATGCTGGCGCTTCAGGCCAGGGTGTTTAACCCACTGCGCCACAGTGCCAGCCCCGAAGGGATGGTCTCAATTAAACCTGAGGTCCATCAGTGTCACAAAGTGCGTGTCAAGCAGTATGCAGATGCTTCTTGGACAGGGTTTGCAGTTCGTAGTTTCCGGGCCCACGTGAAATGCTCATTTTGATACTGATTGCGGAGTTTGTGTCTGCTCTGAGGCCACATGTTAGCGTCTTCATCCGTGTTGCAGGCATCCTAATATTCTCAGACTCTATGGCTACTTCCATGATGCCACCCGAGTGTACCTGATCCTGGAGTATGCACCGCTTGGAACCGTCTACAGAGAGCTTCAGAAACTTTCCAAGTTTGATGAGCAGAGAACTGCTACCGTGAGTTTTCATTTGTTGTCCAAACATTCCATTCCCTTTCTGTCTGCTCTCCACAGTAATGGACCTTTCGTTACAGTAGAGTGGGCTTTATCTTCATGGAGAGATAGCTTAATAGAACCAGATATTTCAAATGGAATAGTCAAAATAGTTTGTACCTTATGGACAGATAAAATCAAGAACCAGGTAAAATGTGTGACTTGTTTCTTTCCAGTTTTTCTGTGGAAATGTATAAAGAGAATGGTGCTGTTTTTGTTGTTTTAAGAATAGTTTCTGACTGGTGCCGCGGCTCACTAGGCTAATCCTCCGCCTTGTGGCGCCGGCACACTGGGTTCTAGTCCCGGTCGGGGCGCCGGATTCTGTCCCGGTTGCCCCTCTTCCAGGCCAGCCCTCTGCTGTGGCCAGGGAGTGCAGTGGAGGATGGCCCAAGTGCTTGGGCCCTGCACCCCATGGGAGATCAGGATAAGTATCTGGCTCCTGCCATCAGATCAGCGCGGTGTGCCGGGCTGCAGTGCCGTGGCCATTGGAGGGTGAACCAAAGGCAAAGGAAGACCTTTCTCTCTCTCACTGTCCACTCTGCCTGTCACAAAAAAAAAATAAAAATAAAAAATAGTTTCTGATTTACAGAAATTGGGAAAACAGTGCAGAGTCCATAGACCTTGCATTGATTTCTGTTATCAATGTCTTGCATTAGTATATTTGTCACAGCTAATGAACCAACAGGCACATGACTGCTAACTGAAGCCATGCTTTATCTAGGTTCCTTTAATTTCTTCATGGTTAGATTAGGGTTTTGGATTTTTTTTATTTTTATTTTTATTTTTATTTTTATTTTTATTTTTTTTGACAGGCAGAGTGGACAGTGAGAGAGAGAGACAGAGAGAAAGGTCTTCCTTTGCTGTTGGTTCACCCTCCAATGACCGCTGCAGCTGGCGTGCTGCGGCCGGCGCACCGCGCCCATCCGATGGCAGGAGCCAGGTACTTCTCCTGGTCTCCCATGGGGTGCAGGGCCCAAGGACTTGGGCCATCCTCCACTGCACTCCCTGGCCACAGCAGAGAGCTGGCCTGGAAGAGGGCAACCGGGACAGAATCCGGCGCCCCGACCAGGACTAGAACCCGGTGTGCCGGCGCTGCAAGGCGGAGGATTAGCTTAGCGAGCCGCGGCGCCGGCCGGATTTTTTTTTTTTTTTTTTTTTTTTTAAGATTTCTTTATTTGAAAGAGTTCTGCAGAGAAGAGGAGACAGAGAGAGAGAGAGAGAGATAGCAATAGCAATTTTTGTTTTGCTGGATCACTCCCCAAATGGCCTCAACAGCTGGGGCAGAGCCAGAATGAAGCCAGGGGTTGGGAGCTTCTTCTGGATCTCCCACATAGGTGCAGGGGCCCGAGCACTTGAGCCATCCTCCACTGCTTTCCCAGGTTCATTAGCAGGGAGCTGGATTGGAAATGGAGCAGCTGGGTCTTGAACTGGCACCTATATGGGCTATCAGCGTCACGGGTGGTGGCTTTACCTGCTACGCCACAGTGCAGGCCCCAGGGTTTTGGATTTTGAGAGGAGGCTTGCAGAAGGCGCGTGTGTTTTCTTAACTGACCTGTCACAGGGTGCTGGGCTTGGTCCCTTGACTTGGGCAGTGTTTGCCAGGCCTCTGCACTGCGAAGGGACGATTTTCCTCTTTCCACACTGTCTTCTTTCAGCAGAAGTTGCCGGGCATAGCCAGCGAGTAGGCAGAGGAACTGTATAAACTATTGGCAGTTCTGTACCGGAAGTTTGTTAATCCCATTCTTTCAGTCATTTCTTTTAATAAAACATGGACTCGACTCAAGGATCATATTTGGAGTCATCCAATTGTTTTTTATTTTGTTGCTTATATTCCAGCTTTGGTCACTGGGATTTTTTATGATTCTGTGTAAATCATCATAGTAGGGGTTTTTGGGGGGTTGGAGTCATTTTCTTCGAAGCCTTGTTTATTTCCTGCCCCAGTACTAGTCATTCTTTCCTCCAAGGACCCTTGGTGCCTTTTATTGGTGATGGTATTAAAACCAAGGTCAGGGCCTCGGTGTCTTCATCACTAGGGGAATGTCTTCAGTTCTGTGTCCTCTCTGCTTACAGCGCAGAGGAATGCATGTGTTATAACTGCTCATCTCTGTTAAGTCCAGCATGGGTTCACCCTGATGGTGTCAGCGCAGTTCCACAGCCAAAGGTCCCTCTAGCCTTTGCCCTGGCTTCTCTGTGACTGACGTTCCAGCAGTGAGGAAGCGGGTTTCAAATGCAGTCCTTTACTTACCCAGTCCCAGTGTGCATGGATGGTGGTACCAGGAGTGTTGACGTTACCCCGTGTACATGGATGGTGGTACCAGGAGTGTATGTTTACCCCGTGTACATGGATGGTGGTACCAGGAGTGTTGACGTTACCCCGTGTACATGGATGGTGGTACCAGGAGTGTTGACACTTACCGTGTACATGGATGGTGGTACAAGGAGTGTTGACATTTACCCCGTGTGCATGGATGGTGGTACCAGGAGTGTTGACGTTTACCCCGTGTACATGGATGGTGGTACCAGGAGTGTTGACGTTTACCCCGTGTGCATGGATGGTGGTACCAGGAGTGTTGACGTTACCCCGTGTACATAGATGTTGGTACCAGGAGTGTTGACATTTACCCCGTGTGCATGGATGAAGGTACCAGGAGTGTTGACGTTTACCCCGTGTGCATGGATGAAGGTACCAGGAGTGTTGACATTTACCTCGTGTACATGGATGGTGGTACCAGGAGTGTTGACATTTACCCCGTGTGCATGGATGGTGGTACCAGGAGTGTTGACATTTACCCCGTGTGCATGGATGAAGGTACCAGGAGTGTTGACGTTTACCCGTGTGCATGGATGAAGGTACCAGGAGTGTTGACGTTTACCCGTGTACATGGATGGTGGTACCGGGAGTGTTGACATTTACCCGTGTACATGGATGGTGGTACCAGGAGTGTTGACGTTACCCCGTGTACATGGATAAACATTATCAATGAGGAAGGTGCTTTCCTGCAGGTCTTCCCTTTTTTTTTTTTTTTTTAAAGATTTATTTATTTGAAAGTCAGAATTAAACAGAGAAGGAGAGGCAGAGAGAGAGAGAGAGAGAGAGAGAGAGAGGTCTTTCATCCACTAGTTCACTCCCCAAATGGCCGCAATGGCCAGAGCTGTGCCGATCCAAAGCCAGGAGCCAGGAGCTTCTTCTGGGTCTCCCACATGGTGCAGGGGCCCAAGGACTTGGGCCATCTTCTACTGCTTTCCCAGGCCATAGCAGAGAGCTGGATCGGAAGTGGAGCAGCCAGGAGTCAAACTGGCGCCCATGTGGGATGCAGGCACTGCAGGCGGCAGCTTTACCCGCTGTGCCACAGTGCTGGTCCCACAATTCCTTCTGTCTTGGTTTTGTGTAGACTGCACTCACTTCCTGAGTGACACTGTGCCCTTGAATGAGGTGGTGTGTACATTTGTAATGTGGTTGTTCTTTTGTCACAGTCTGCGTTGTATCCTGGGGTCCCCTGACCTAAATGTTTTCCTTTTAAATTCACCTATACCAAGGTTCACTTTTTGTGTAGCAAACTCTGGGTTTTGACAAAGGCATAATGCTGTGCATCCACCATTACAGCAGTATCACTGCTCTTAAAAAAATCCCGTGTGTCACCTACTCTGCCCACTTGCCCACAATCTCTGGTAGCCAGTGATCTGTTGAGTGTCTAATTGCGTTTGTTGAGTATCGGATAATTGGAATCAGAACAGTGTGTAGCCTTTTTAGAGTGGCTTCTTCACTTAGCAATGTCCATTTCAGTCATCTGTCTTTTGCAGGCTTGGCAGCTCAGCTCTGCCATCATTGATTGATGCTGCTCCTGATGCTTGCCAGCATTCGATGTCAGAGTTTTGGGTTTGGTCCTTGTAGCAGTGGTGTCTCATTTGTTTAGTTGCAGTTTCCTTGTGATGACGTTGACATCTCTTGATGTGCGTATTTGCCACCTGTGCATCATCTTTGCGACACCTAGCGGGATCTTTTGACTTTTTTTTTTTTTTTTTTGTAAATATTTACTTTCATCTAAAAAGGCAGAGAGAGATCTCCATCTTCTGGTTCACTCTACAAATGCCTGCAACAGCCAGGGTTGGGCCAAGCCAGAGCCAGGAGTCCAGAGCCCCGTCTGGGTCTTGCAGGTGGCGGCAAGCACGTGAGCCATCGTTCGCTGCCTCCCTGGATGCATTAGCAGGAGGCTGCAGTGGGAGCAGCGTAGCAGGGCTCAAGCAGCCACTCTGATACGGGACAGGACACCGGTGTCCCAGCAGTGTTTTACCCCACAGCGCTGCATGCCTGCCCTTGCTATATTTTAATTGGGCTTTTTGTTTTCTTATTGTTGAGTTTTAAGAGTTCTTTGTACATTTTTGGATAGACGTCACCTACTATGTTTTATGAGTATTTTGTACAAGTCCAACATACCTGTTTTTTTTTTTTTTTCTTTCATGGGTTGTGCTTTTGATTGTCTTCCTTTGTTATGAATAGAATTACTGGTTTTAGGAAGCTGGAGGGTCTTAGCTTTTGGGCTGTTTCTTGTGGGATCCGCAGGCGATGGCTCCACAGAACAGTGGTTACTTAGAACTGTTGGGTTTCTTAGATCTCTGGGTAATGCATGAGCTAGTTTTCTTTCCTCTTGGCAGTGATGTAAATGACACTGACCTCAGGTGAGTTTATGCTACTAATGGAATCACACCACTGAAAGTGAACAGCCTCTGGTCTTCTGTTTGCAGTGAAAACTGGACCTATTCTTTTTATAAAACTTAATCATAAATGTTTGCTGGTACACATAGAAATAGATCTACCTTGCTTTTAAGTACTAACTAAACCAGTCTCTTATTTAGTCAGCAACCAATATTTCTTAGGAATTCATCTGTTGGGCCAACTTTCTCTTAAAGATCAGTAAGGAAATCTACACTCACTAGTAGAAGTGACTCTAAGGTACTAATAGGACCTACCTCTGGTTCTTTTATTCTTTCTTATTGTGGGTTGTAGCTTTGTTTTTATTGTTAATCTTTTTCTTCATTTTCTACTGTTGATCTACTTAAAAAGGCACACTTTATATCCAGACTGTAAGATTATTTACACAGTACTCATTTTCTACCGCACATATAAGGTTTCAGTCAAGACAGAATTCATTTTGGTTCGAGCAGATTGCTATTTGGGAGAAAATGAATAATTAGTTCTTTTTAGTTTCCTTAGAATGATTCGTTACATCTGTTTTCAGATCAATTAAAATCTGGTTGTAGAGAAGAGAGGGATGTCCGAACATCCGTCATCTGACAACATCTGAGTGGTGGTGTGGGTGGATGCCGGGGCGCTCTGAGCTCTGATTCCACTGATGCTGCCTGGCCAGGATTGTGAGCAGGGAGCATCCTTGCCCACTGGGGTTTTAATCAAAACATCACAACTCCACGTAGGCATAGAGGAGCAGTTTACTGTGGTCTAAATTCTCATCTCTGACTTTGGGCTGAAAGAATGAAGTGTCCTCTCTCATAGTGAAATTTAGTTTCTAAAGTAAGGTTCAGTCCTGTCTAGCAATTACTTGGAGACAAACTCCTCTCAAAAGTTTATCTAGAGCTACATCTACTAATAAGCTAATAAAGAGTTCTTATTTATGTGTTAAAACAAACAGTGGTCTTGCTTGCTAAATCTGTACATTGAGATGGGAGTGGAAAATCCTTTCCCTAGGAAACAAAGTAACAAAGGGGCTGATTTGCTTGTCTTGTGTGCTGTTGCCCTTAGGTATTCTGTTGCAGCACCACAGAACAAACTGCAGGTGGGGGGTGTATGCACAACAGGTTTCCTTCTTCGGTTCTGCAGGGGCCTTCTTGCTCCAGCTTACGGCAGAGGAGGGAGGGCAGGAGAGAAGCAGAGAGAATCCTGCAGCCTCCAGCCCTTTTACAGTCTGTACTGGTTCACTGACTGGAGTTGCCATGACTTAACATCTCCCATGAGCCCCCCCCCCCCCAACTCTACTGGATTATTAAGTTTCTTTTTAATTTTTAAATTTTTTTGGACAGGCATAGAGAGAGAAAGGTCTTCCTTCCGTTGGTTCACCTCCCCCCCCCCCCCCCATATGGCTGCTATGGCTGGCGCGCTGCGCCAATCCGAAGCCAGGAGCCAGGTGCTTCCTCCTGGTCTCCCATGCAGGTGCAAGGCCCAAGCACTTGGGCCATCCTCCACTGCCTTCCCGTGCCACAGCAGAGAGCTGGCCTGGAAGAGGAGCAACCGGGACAGAATCCGGCGCCCCGACCGGGACTAGAACCCGGGGTGCCAGTGCCACAGGCGGAGGATTAGCCTAGTGAGCCGTGGTGCCGGCCATGATTATTCAGTTTCTAACATTTTTGGGGGATGCGTTTAGTTATAGTATTATTCAGTGTATCTGTTTATTGTGTGGAGTAGTTTTCCCCCGATAGTCTTGAAGTAAAATTTTAGCTTCAAATAAATCCTTTTGTTTTTGAATGGTCTTGATTTAAAAAAATGGGAGCTGACTACACTTGGAAGCCTTCAACTCTTCAAGCGTTGTTTGCACCTTAGAATCCCTGATTTGTACCCGTTCAATCCTTGCTGCTGGGCCATAACTGGCCATGTGAGGGGACAGGCAAGCTCGTCGTCACCGTCTGCACAGCACATCAGCTGCTTAGCGAGGCGGTAACTGGGCACTGGGTAACTCCCTCCCGATGCTAGGTGCCGTCAGTCAGGTCTCTCGACTCGGAGGCTCGTGCGTGGTTCTGCAGTGTTTGCCTCAGGAATCCTGCAGGAATGCTCGTTTCCGTGGGTGCTCCCTTCAGAAGAGATGTCTGTCGAACATTAGCTTTGTTATAGAACCTGAAACAGGCTTCCCATGCTCTTTTCAAACAGTATATCACCGAGCTGGCAAACGCCCTGTTGTACTGTCATTCAAAGAGAGTCATTCATAGAGATATTAAGCCCGAGAACCTGCTTCTTGGATCAGCTGGGGAGCTGAAGATTGCAGACTTCGGGTGGTCGGTACACGCTCCATCCTCCAGGTAGGTGACTTCAGAGATGGAGGTGGTTTGCTTAAGCAGAAACCCCGGGGCCTAACCATGAGCAAAATATAAGTTACGTGTAGATTTTGCAAGGGTGGGGCAGAGTAATTTCGACCTGATAATAAACTAGTGGCTTCAAGAAAATTTTGTTCTTTAGCTGTTTGGGGCTACTTAGGGTGTTCTGGGCCTAGGATTAAAGATGCTTAATGTCTTTAGAGACTAATGAAGGGGGTGAATAAGCCAAAGATGACAAGTGTGTGACAGAGGGGGAGGAGCCCTTAAGCTAACAGGGACGGCTGGGAGTGGGAGTGGAGGAGGCTGCTCTGTTTCCTGAAGCTGTTTTAGAAAGCAACAAATCTGTCTTGGTCCAACAACATTTCCTCTGGGGAACTTTGAAAATGGTTGGTTTTGAGGGCGCATCAAGGCAGCTGTTACTTAGATTCCCTTTGGTCTGTTTGTCAACAGGAGGGGGAGCCTTTCTGTCCTTAGAGCTGAAGCATGGGGCCAGAGCTGTGGCACAGCAGGTTAAGCCCCTGCAGTGCCGGCATTCCAAATAGGCGCCGGTTTGAGTCCTGGCTGGTCCACTTGCCATCCAGCTCTCTGCTGTGGCCTGGGAAAGCATCAGAAGATGGCCCAAGTGCTTGGGCCCTTGCACCCACGTGGGAGACCTGGAAGAAGCACCTGGGTTTGGATCGCTGCAGCTCTGGCTGTTGCAGTCATCTGGGGAGTGAACCAGTGGATGGAAAGATCTCTCTCTACCTCTGCTTTTCTCTGCCTTTCAAATAATTAAAATCTTTAATAAATAATAAAAAAGGGACTTGATTAACAATTTAAGTCTTGGGTGAATTTTCCAAATGAAAGTTAAAATATTCTCTACTGTTCTAAGTTATCTTCTGTCTCCTGGCTCACTCCCTAAATAAGTGACTTAACCTACCCCACCACAAAGCCAGTCCCTGAGTGGGGAATTTTTAAGTATGTATCTACTGATTGGGTTTTGCTAACTTTGGGAAAGCACTTCAGTGATTGTAGATAAATGACTTTTAAAAACAGAGCCAGTTTTAAAAAAATAAATACTGCAGCCTGAGGGGCTGCGGGGATACCCTCCTGTTACAGACCATTCCTGCTGTTTCCAACAGTCTATCCCACCTGCTATTGGAGTCTTGTCTTTTTGGACTGATAGTTCTGAGTGGGGGCTCTTGTCATCAGTGAGACAAATAACAAAGAACCGTAGGTTTCACGAGGTCGAAGGGTTGAGTCTTTACCTTACCCTGTCCAGTGGTGTCATCAGCAACGGAAAGATAGCACCTTGTTTTGAAGAAGTCCTTTATATAAATGTTGCTGGCCACTTCCCCCTGCATCCCAGATGGTAATGACCGCCAGTTTCTTTGTTACTGTGGACAGGTGCTCTGTAACCCCTGACTTAGTCCATCTCATCTCAGTGCTGAGGAGGGCTCTGGCGTCTGCAGAGGTGGCTGCTAAGTCGCAGGTCACAGTTCACTTGAGTGAACAGTCCTGTGCTCACTGCACCAGGCATGGCTGAACACAGTTCTGCGTGACCTGCAGAACACTCCTGGCTGGGTGTCTGCCACCCCCCAGCTTATTTCCAGCCTTGTTAGAAAAACTTTAGAAATGCAGTTAGTAGTCACTGGTAGACCTGTGTGTCCACCACCTGCATTCCAAGTTTTCATTTTGTCATACTGACTGCAGCTGGGTTTGGTGAACTTTTTATTTTAATTTATTTTTAAAAATTTATTTCAAAGGCAGAGTGACCCGGAGAAGCAGAGAGTGAGATATCTTTGATCTGCTGGTTCACTCCCCAGATGGCTGCAACAGCAGCAGCTGGGCCAGGCTGGAGCCAGGAGCCAAGAACTTGATCTGAGTCTCCCACACAGCAGGGGCTCAAACACCTGACCCATCTTCCTCTGCTTTCCCAGGTGCATTAGTAGGGAGCTAGATGAGATGGTGCTCACGGGATGCCAGTGATGCAGGATGTAGCTTAACCCGCTGTACCACAATGCTGGCTGGCCCCTTTGGTGAATTTTTGAAAATAAGTTGCAGATGTTTAATCATTGAGCACTGGAGTATACATCTACAAATCGGGACATTCTCCTCTGTAATCACAACCAGTCAGTCGTAAGGAAATTAACATTAAGATCTAATATTCTAAATGTTGAATTATCTCCAGAAGTCTAAGAAAATTTTTTTTAAAGATTTGAGTCAGAATTACCCACAGAGAGAGGTCTTCCATCCGCTGATTCACTCCCCAGTTGACCACAACAGCTGGAGCTGTGCGGATCTGAAGCCAGGAGCCAGGAGCTTCCTCCAGGTCTCCCACGTGGGTGCAGGGGCCCAAGGACTTGGGCCATCTTCTACTGATTTTCCAGGCCATAGCAGAGAGCTGGATTGGAAGTGGAGCAGCCGGGACTTGAACTGGCATCCATATGGGATGCCGGCACTGCAAGCGGTGGCTTTACCCGCTACGCCACAGCGCCAGCTCCCCCAAGAAATTCTGTAGGTGATTTTGTTGAAGAATTTCTTTCATCTGGGTCAGATTATTCAAGGAGGTTCTGGAGTTGGACGGTGTTAGGGTGAGGCCTGGTTGCAGGCTGGAGCTGGGATTTAGTCGGGTCTACCAGCGACAGGTCTGGCCTAGGAGACTGCCCACGCAGTGTCAGCGTGACTGCTGATGAGTTTTAGTGGTGGCTGCAATAATGAAAATCTGTGTTTAGGAGGACTACGCTGTGTGGCACGCTGGACTACCTGCCCCCCGAGATGATTGAGGGCCGCATGCATGACGAGAAGGTGGACCTCTGGAGCCTGGGAGTTCTTTGCTACGAGTTTTTAGTTGGGAAGCCTCCTTTTGAGGCAAACACATACCAAGAGACCTACAGAAGAATATCACGGGTAAGACATACTGAGAGGACCTGGCACGTCTCAGGATTTTTTTTTTTTTTTTTTTGACAGGCAGAGTGGACAGTGAGAGAGAGAGAGACAGAGAGAAAGGTCTTCCTTTGCCGTTGGTTCACCCTCCAATGGCCGCCGCGGCCGGTGCACCGCGCTGATCCAATGCCAGGAGCCAGGAGCCAGGTGCTTATCCTGGTCTCCCATGGGGTGCAGGGCCCAAGCACCTGGGCCATCCTCCACTGCACTCCCTGGCCACAGCAGAGAGCTGGCCTGGAAGAGGGGCAACCGGGACAGAATCCGGCGCCCCAACCGGGACTAGAACTCGGTGTGCCGGTGCCGCTAGGCGGAGGATTAGCTTAGTGAGCCGCGGCGCCGGCCACGTCTCAGGATTCTTTGCTTAGGAGCCCAGGTGCTAGGCTAAGGTCTGAGCATGAGTACTGTTTGTGGTCTAACCTGTGTTTTGTGACATTTGTCACTTGTACTGCAGGTTGAATTCACCTTCCCTGACTTCGTGACAGAGGGAGCCAAGGACTTCATTTCGAGGCTGCTGAAGCACAACCCCAGTCACAGGCCCACTCTGGCAGAAGTACTTGAGCACCCGTGGGTCAAAGCGAAGTCCTCGAAACCCTCCAGCTGCCCAGACAAGGAGCCTGCCAGCAAACAGTCTTAGTGGTGCAGGGGCAATCCTCGACCAGGGCTGCTGCGCAACCCATCTGCCAGGAACACGCTGTGGAGTTTGTCCTGCGGAGCACTACAGGGAATGCCTGCCTTGCTGGGCGGGCGCGCGGTGCCCCCGCCTCTGCCACCTCCTCCAGCTCTGCTTCAGTAGACACACACTCTGGAGTGAAAGCAGCCACGAGTCGTGCGGCTTCTACTGATTTCACCGCCTGGAGGCAAGGTTTGACCGCATCTGCAGTCTGTGCTGGACAAGGGGTCCCTGTGGGAGACAAACTTGGTGTCTGCTTGTGGGCAGGTGACCACTTGCCCTGACTTGATCGGCTACATAGCTGCACAGGAGCCTTGCAAGTACCTGAGTGTCTGTAACTTATTGGGTGGCTGAGGCCGCTAGAGCTGTTGGAATGAATATGTGATTTCTTTTAAGTGCTAAAATAAAGATTTGCAGATCGACGTGGAGTTTTTCTCCTGTGGCATCTCCCCGGTGCTCTCCATGTCTGTCAGTGCGGTTTCTGGTCCTCGGTCACCTTGGGAGTGGGAATGTGTGCTCTACCTCGATCTCAGGACTTGCTGGGGACACAGAGAATAAGTGTCTTGGAGCTGTTTTAAATGTTAAGGGCTCACTTTTCTGCATCACAGTTATGGCATATGTGTAAACTCTAAATACATAAATAAAATGTCTACCTACAGTGCACGAGTAATCCTTTTCTACCATCCGTTCACTGCTTGCCTGCAACGTGGCTGGCGCAGTGAGAGGAGCGAGTCCTGGCCCTCTTGTCTGCTGGAGATGCCCAGATAAAGTTCACAGCAGTGAACACCGTCCGTCCGTGCCAGGTATGATGGACTTGAAGAAAAGGTGCAAGTGTGGAACTTAGAATTAGTTCAGAAATGTGCTTTTGTGGCCAGCTGCCCATGCAGGAGGCCAGCTGTCAGTTACGGTGGTACAGGAGAGGGAGGGCGACACAGAAACCTCAGACAGGACTTGAGTGGCTTCCTAAGCTTGACAGAGATGTTTGCACCCAATTTAAGCTGCCTGTTTTGTCAGATTGAAAAAAGAGGCAAATAATGGCTTACGTTTTTTAAAATAGCTGTTTTATTTCCTAGTTCCATATAAACAATGAATACAAGCAGTCTGTACATCTTGCTGGTGAACTCCCACAGTAGTTCCCTGGTCCTCCCCGGGGTTTTCAGTTATTGGTGTGGCCACAGGAGTGGGGGGGGGGGGGGGCTGGGGCTGGGAGACGGTGATATGGCTGTTTGCTATTAGTCTTATTGCTTGTCCTTTGAGTCCACTCCCATTACTTCCGAGTTTGAGATTTAAGCCCTTAATCTAAAGACCTCTTGTAGGCTTTTTTTTTTTTTTTGCATAGGCATTCCCAGGGATCCAAAAGGGAAACTGGCAGACTGTGGTTAGGAGCCGGAAGCTAACAAATCACTGCTTAAACACAGGATGGGAGGCAAAAGCTCTATCCAGTGCAAAAGCCATCGCCTGGTATGGGCCCTGGCACTCTCAGCTGCAAGGTCCCTGGAATTAGATCCCAGAAAGGCATTCCAGGTTTACGTCATTAAACCTTCTGGCAACGGGCTGACTGGCTTAGGAAAAGAAGTGTGGTCCAATGTTAAATTAAGGTCAGTGACACGGACAGCTGGACGAAGTAAGGAACTGTCAGCAGTCAGATCTCAAGACCAGGGCAGGTAAGTTTTCTGATCGCCACAGTGTAACCTGTAAAGGAACTAGGAGCCAGGAAGGCCAGTGCAGCTCAGTTCTGCTTCTGGGAGTCTGGAGCGAGCGCCTGGCGGGGCTGGGAGGAGAGACTTAAATGATGTGGGCAGGATGGAAATTCCTTTTCCATCTGCCTGCTCCTCCCGGAAGACGACTCAGTGGGTCTCTATGCTTGAATTTCTATTCTTAACACACACCCCCTCCCTAATGGGGTAAAGCTGGCTTGGTAGCCTATAATTACACCTGCCTGTTCCCCCTTCCTCTCCAGTCTGAATTATTTCATGGTTGCCTCCCAGTGTTAGCAATGGGTGAATCTTCCTTTTTAGGAGGTAGTACAAAATCTTTCTGCATAATTAACTAAAAAAAGTGATAGTGTAAACATTGATAGTTCTGGAATGTCGAGTTTGAGATAAAGTGGATTGTCTGAGAAAAGCTAAGATCACCTTAGCTTTCTGTATGTGTGGTACCCAGATTGCTCTGTGAAGGCAGGCATAGGAGCCACGTGCTGCCATTACTCTTGGCAGGGTTCCCATGTTTCCCTAAACAGGCAAACAGTGCTGATCGCTGGTAGCGAGGTTGCTGGAAAACCATCAGATAGGGCCTTACGTCCAGATTGGAAGGTGTTTCTAGGAACACTTGTTTTTCTTTACTCGAAACAAGTGTAATGAATGTGATGGTGCTAATTTGGATCCTGATTGCATACTGTTAAGTTTCACTTCATTCACTGTAGCACTGGCAGCTGTTTTGCAGAATACTGCATATTAAACTGCAGGCAGCTGACAAACATCAGATGAAGGGGAACCTTTACGTTAACTCATTTGCTTAAGGATTTGAGCAAGGATCAGCCCCTTGGGGCTTTTGCAGGGCCCCTGACCAATGATGTCCCAAAAGGAACACCTCTTAGGCTTTGTGTTGAGATGTTGGCTCATCTGCGATGTCTTGCTGACATTTAAAATTATATATACAAGTCGTAGGATAGGCAGCATAAACAAAACTTATGAAGCAAAAACTATAATTCAAATCCTGACTTTTGCTGGCAAAGGTAAAATTCATGGGAACACAATTAGATCTGTCCCCGCCCCCACCCTATAATGCTAAAACTTATCAAAACTCACTTAAAAGGAAGGTTTTCAGTGCTCACTACTGAAAAGCTCATTAAGGTTTTGCAGCTGGAGGTTTAAAAAATCCTACTTTCCGAAAATATCTGACAATGAAGGGCACAGAGACTAAGGTGATGCTGATTCTCACAGGCGCAAACAGCTTGTGGATTGCGTAGGCCACCACGAAAGTGCTCGTGCCTGCTGCCATTTTGGACTGGACCAGCGACTCTTTAAATCCGAGTTTAAGCAGGATTGCAGACATGTCCACACCGCTGGAGGGAAACAGAAAAGTTATTAGAAGAGTAAATGAGATCAATTTGCCTGTAAGATTGACAGCATCTTCTAAAATGACAAAAGCTGATGAATAAAAAACCTTAGAAGCTGATATTCACATAGTTACACGGCAGTAAAACAGAGCCGTTAATTGCTGTCAACAATCTCACCTTGAAACCACCGTGTAGAACAAGCCCAGGGAGATGAGCGAGATCCCAATGTGCAGTGACACGCCAACGGCTCCGTACTCCTGGAAGATCTTTCGCAGCTGCTGTGCCTTGCTTTGCCTGCTACCTCCTGTGCTGCCCACAGCGCTGCCTGTGACCTCGGTCACTCTGCTGGGGTCCTGCGCACAGACCAAACAAGGGGAAAAGCTAAGGCCAGGAGCGGGACGTTGGTGGTCACCACCAGCTGTTTGTTCTCCTGTAGGGTCAGACGCGACTCAGGCTCGCTTGGCCACCAAGTACAAGGGTGCCCAGGTCCTAATCCTCAGGACCCATGACTGCCACTTCCCATGGCAAAGGGACCGTGTGGTGCAGGATCTGGAGACTGGATTATATGGGTGGAACCAATGTCACTGCAAGGCCCTTAAAGGTGAAAAGAGGGACAGTGACGGCAGAAGCAGAGCTGGTGAGTGAAGATGCTGTGCCTACGGGGGTGAGGACCTCGAGCCGAGGAATGCAGGTGGCTTCAGAAGCTGGACAAGACAAGCAACGGGTTCTCCAGGAGCTGGCTCTGCTGACGACTGACTGCAGCCCAGAGAGCGCCCCTGCAGGCCTCTGACCGCCACAGCTCCAAGACAACGAATGTTGTCTGTGTGTGTGTTTTTTTTAAGGATTTATTTGAAAGAGTTACACAGAGAGAGGAGAAGCAGACAAAGTCTTCCATCTGATGGTTCACTCCCCAAATGGCCACAATGGCTGCAGCTGTGTCGATCCGAAGCCAGGAGCTTCTTCCAGGTCTCCCATGTGGGTGCAGGGGCCCAGGGACTTGGGTCATCTTCTACTGCTTTCCCAGGCCATAGCAGACAGCTGGATCAGAAGTGGAGCAGCTGGGACTCGAACTGGTGCCCATATGGGATGCTGGTGCCTTAGGCCAGGGTTTTAACCCACTGTGCCACAGCACCAGACCTGAAGGTATGTGTGTGTGTGTGTGTGTGTGTGTGTGTGTGTTTTGGACAGGCAGAGTGGACAGTGAGAGAGACAGAGAGAAAGGTCTTCCTTTGCCGTTGGTTCACCCTCCCACGGCTGGCGTGCCGCGGCCGGCGCACTGTGCTGATCCTATGGCAGGAGCCAGGTGCTTATCCTGGTCTCCCATGGGGTGCAGGGCCCAAGCACTTGGGCCATCCTCCACTGCACTCCCTGGCCACAGCAGAGAGCTGTCGCTCCCCCATTCGCGGAGGAATGACACAGGACCGTGCGCTGTTCTCTTGTCTGCTCGGCCCTTCCCGGGTTTGCTGCTGGTCCTTCCCGGGTTGGCTGCCGATCCCTCCACCTCCGTGGAGGGGCGCCCCCCCCTGCCACTTTCCCCGCTTCCGCGGAGGAGCGGCACACCGCCGGCCGGCTCTCTCGGGGGCTGCTCAGGTGTTCCTTCAGATGTTCCTGGTGCATGTTGTCTCTCTCCTCCTTTATAGTCCTCTTCACCAATCTGTGCTCTGCTACCCACACGCCGAGCACGCTGCTCTCCTCCAATCAGGAGCAGGATCAGCTCCTGCAGTTTGTCAAGTTGGTGAGAGGCAGCTGCGTAGAAGTTTACTCCTCCCCAGCGCCATGTTGTGGGAGAGCAGATGCATAGAATAAGTCTTAATTCCAGTAACTTAGTCTAGTCCGAGTTGCTCCCCACAGAGAGCTGGCCTGGAAGAGGGGCAACCGGGACAGAATCTGGTGCCCCGACTGGGACTAGAACCCGGTGTGCCGGTGCCGCTAGGTGGAGGATTAGCCTAGTGAGCCACGGCGCTGGCCCCTGAATGTGTGTTTTAATCTACATGTCTGCGGTCAGCCGTCATATGAATTAACACACGAGGGCTCGTGTACCCGAGGACAGCAGTGACACTTCAAGCATTTTCTCTGAGCCAGCAGCTCTCCGATGCTTTGTCTATTTCTCCTTCTAAGATAGATGTCGTCATTTTCTCCATTACAGAGAAGCAACACGGGCTTGGAGGGGTCACGTGACTGGCCCAAAGCCATCTGCATCCACAGCCTGTGTACCTGACAGCCAGGCCATGTGCTACCCAAAAGGGCAGTGGATGCAAAGTGAAACAATGTGGAGGCTATGATCTACTTCTGGAGTCTAATTCACACGTGAGATCTAGGGCAGAGGGAGGGGCGATCCCAAACACAATGGCCAGGATCTGTACATCACAGTTCACTGAGCATTTACTGACCGCCAGCAGGAAGCGCTGGGGATGTATGTCAGAATACAAAGGGGACAATAAGGCCACCTCACCGAGAGGCCACTTTTATCAGAAGCCATCTGTGAGGACAGTGCCAGGCGTCTCGGCTGGCGGCGGTCACTGGCTTTGCGGCGGGGCCACTTCTCCCCTGAATTTTCACAGCTGGGCTGCGCTTCCTTTGAAGCACTCGAGGGAGCCTGGGATCCTCCGGACAGAAGGTCAGAACTCCCCGGTAGAAAGAGAAACAGTGCAGGGCGCAGGGCAGCAGCCTCCAGACCCGCACCTACACAGGCCGGCACCCTGGCCCTGACAGCTCTGACTGCGCCTGGGTGAGGCCTGGACCTGTGTTTCCCACACGATCTAGGTGGCTCAGGTGAGGCTGCTCCGTGTGGCTAACTCGGGGAGGGGAGGGGAGGGGCCACTGCAGCTCACTCTCAGGTTCTGTGGTCCCACAGGTGAAACTCGGAGGGGGTCATGATTTTTAAAAGGCTGGGGGCTGGCTCCTTGGTGCAGTAGGTTAATCCTCTGCCTGAGGCGCCGGCATCCCATATGGACGCCGGTTCTAACCCTGGGCTGCCCCTCTTCCAATCCAGCTCTCTGCTGTGGCCTGGGAAAGCAGTAGAAGATGGCCGAAGTGTTTGGGCCCCTGCACCAGCATGGGAGACCGGGAAGAGGCTCCTGGCTTCGGATCGGCGCAGCTCTGGCCGTTGCGGCCATCTGGGGAGTGAACCAACAGAAGGAAGATCTTTCTCTCTGTCTCTCCATCTGTAACTCTGCCTATCAAATAAGTAGAATCTTTAAAAAAATAAATAAAAGGCTTGAGGAAAACCCCAACATCCTTATAGGTATGTATCATTTCACAGAAACCCTGGTGACCCTGTGACACGAGAACGTCTGTGGCTCCCATTTTGACAGCTGGAAGCCTGAGGCCGGGGACAGAAAAGTGGGGAACGATGGCTAACTGGCTACTGGGCTGGTCCTCCCCAGGCCCCATGGCCTCTGGGATAACTGGCAGGCCACCTTCATATCCTCCAACGACAACTCTCTCTAGAACTCGCAGGCTCTGCAGGGGAGGAACACGCTCCCCAGCCTCCTCTCCGTGGGCTGGCACACACTCCCACCCCTCTTCCTGGAAGCTTTTTGCCAGCACTGCCAGCCCAGCCAGAAGGGCTGAGAAGCTCAACTCTGTGATAAACACGTCCCACCCACTTTGAGCTGCAGATGGGACGGCAGCCAGGCGTCCCACGCTGATAACACACAGCCTATCTACAGCCCCTGCCAGGGCCAAACACCGCTCTGGGGCCTGCGACGGGGAAAAGCCTCTTCTCTTTCCCACCCCTTGACACTTGGCCCAGCCAGACCCGACGACGGCCGCTCTGTCCATCACAGGCGCAGCCAAGCTGCTTGCCGAGGGCCCTTTGTTCATCTGTTTTGGCAAAAGGCCTTTCCACCAAAGAAGAAAAACAAAAAGGCGGCCAGACTTCCAGCTGCAGAACCAGAAGCATCTATCGCAAGGCTGCTCGGGACAAGGTCCTGCAGGCGAGCACCAGGGCTAGTTTGCAACATTCCAGGGATACCTAGCGACCTGGACCCCATTCCTCCATCCTGGCGGAACAAGATCTCCCAGCACAGTGAGACGTGCATTTCCCTCCCTAGCCCTTGTGGAGACTACGGAAACCCGCGGAATAAGGGAATTTACGACGCTGTGACTTACACGCGGTGGAGAAGCTGCACTCATCTCTTCACGCACCTGCCACACGTGTGACACTGTTCACCCTGAAAGTGCCTGCGCGTGCAGGAAGGCCTTTCACACTCCCGTGGGACGCCCCTCTGCCTCCCCAGTAAGGTGCATTCAAAGACCCTGTCCACAGACGACCAGCAATTAGGTTGTACCAGGCGCCCGGTACGAACAGTCCCACTCCACGGAGCCTGAATCGTTAGCATCCCATTTTACAGATGAGCAGACAGTCACAGCAAGTACAGGGATCTGATCACGGCCCCAGAACGTGTGAGACCACACTCACCACTCTGTACACACACACACACCCCACTGCCAGGGTCTGGGCTGGGGACACAGCTGACGTGGCTACAGCACAGAGAAGCAAGGCAAGAGATCCTCCCAGGTGATGGCTGTGGAAAACCCTCACAGCCACGGGGCTGAGGGGAGCCCAGAGGCATGCAAGGACTCAGGGTGGTCCCGGGAGGCTTCCTGGAGGAGGGGGCAGCGGGGCTGAGCCAGGAGGCAGGCTGGCCGTGCAAGCTCAGGATTCACACACAACACCTGTGGGCTCCTCTGAGGGCAGGGGGCAATGGCGAGGCACGCTACCTACAGACAAGCTACGGAATGTCCGGGAAGGCCCGTCTCAGCTATGGAGCTGTCTCCCAGACTTTGAGGGCGAAGGCGCTAGTCTTAGCTCTCAGGTCACGGAACAGCTCAGAGGCCTGGGGAGCTTGGGGTGGCCCCAGGGGCCCCACGCGACGTCACTCTGCACGTGCAGACCCTACAGCCGCCCGTTTTCCTTAAAGGCCCGGGCCTCACCAACCACACAGCGCCGCGGCTGCCTCGTCCCCGTCCGCGCGCCCCCCACCCGCCGGGCAGGTGGACGCGGGACGCCGGGCAGCGCGCGGCAAGTTCGTCCCCCGTCCGGGCCCCCTACCCGCCCGGCTCCCCGCGGTCCAGGCCCGCTCCGGGAGCCGCGGCGCCGCTGCCGCAGCCCTGTGACCTTGGTTTCTCCGGCTGTCGACGGGGGATTCGCTTCCTAGGCTTGCAGGGATCGGGGACCCGGCAGGTGCAAAGGTGCGCCCGGGTCAGGGTGGGGGCGGGGAGGCTCACCTGGCGCCCGCGGCAGTCCCCGCGAGCCGAGCGCAGCAGCCGGACGTCCGGCCCGGGCCGGAGCGGGGCCAGAGCCAGAGGCGGCGGGGCGCACGGGGCGGCGGCGCCGAGGAGCCAGGTGACGCGAGGCCGAGCCCGGGCGCCCACCCTGGCCGCCGGGCCCAGCAGCGCCAGCAGCCCGGCCATGGCGCGCGGCGAGGCGCTTCGGCCAGACCCGCAGACCCGGCAGGGAGCCGGAGGCCGGGGCGGGGGCTGCGCGCGTCCTCCGGAGTTCGGCCAGGCCACGCCCCCAGGGCGGGAGCTGTGCGCGGGTGGGCGGGGCCGGAAGCGTATGCCACCTTTGGCCCCACCCACTAGCCCCGCCCCCAGAGAGCCGTCGCCCCTCTCGGCGGAACCGGACTGGAGGAGCGCGCGTTCTCCCGGCCCCGCCCCTCGGAGCCGGAGTTCCGCGCGGAGTGGGCGTGGCGGGGCGCGCGCGCGCGCACTGCGGCCCCGCCCACTCCTCCCGCCCCTCCGGAGGGTGCAATTCGTCTCCTCGCGGCGCGGCCCGGCCGGAGGCTGCGAGCCTCGGCCGGAGGTGGCCGGGTGTCGTCCGAGGGCTCGGAGGTGGGCAGTGCGGCCTGTGATGAAATCGGAGACGCACCTACGTGTCCTCCGCAAAGGAGAAAACAGTGTCCGGTGGCGACTCACCGCCGGCGTGTGCTTTTCTCACAAAGTTAGCACCTGCGCTGCGGGCGCGGCCCGGCGGCCCCGCCTCGGAGCTGCCTCAGGGGGACGCGCGCCCGCCCCGGCCTCCCGCGGGTGGCCGCGTGGGCAGTGCCGTCCGCCCGCGGGTGGCCGCGTAGGCAGTGCCCTCCGCCCGCGGGTGGCCACGTGGGGCAGTGCCGTCCGCCCGTGGGTGGCCGCGTGGGCCGTGCCGTCCGCCCGCGGGGCAGTGCCGTCCGCCCGCGGGTGGCCGCGTGGGCAGTGCCGTCCGCCCACGTCGGGGAGGCTTACCGTCTGGTCGCGGGTGGCCGCGTGGGGCAGGCTTGCCGTCTGGTCGTGTCCGCCCGCGGGTGGCCGCGTGGGCAGTGCCGTCCGGTCGCGGATGGCCGCGTGGGCAGTGCCGTCCGCCCGCGGGTGGTGGCGTGGGCAGTGCCGTCCGCCCGCGGGTGGCCGCGTGGGGCGGGCTTGCCGTCTGGTCGTGTCCGCCCGCGGGTGGCCGTGTGCGAGGCGAGGTCCCGGGGCAGCCGGAAGGCGCCCGCGGAGGCCTGTGGCCGTGGGGCCGGAGGCTGACCAGCCCGCCGCCGGGTGCAGGCTCCCGAGCTGGCGTCGCCGGCGGTGGAGCTGCTGACCCCTCGCTCAGAGCGGAAGAAAAGCGCGTTTTTGTGTCTCCCTTGATGCTTGGCAGTAGATGGCTTGCGGCGATTATAGACTTTAGGTTTTTTTCCTTAACTGGGATGAGAAAACTTTGTCCTTTTCGTGGGACGCAGGCCCCAGCCTGCCTGAGTGTCGCTCGGTCTTCCTGTGGTGTCAGTTCTTTCTGCTCACGGGGTGGTACATTTATGTTTACTTTTCCCCGTTTTGTGAGTAGGGAAAGTATTCTCATGTTTCAGATGATTTGTCAGCCTTAAAGACAACAGAAGAAGGCCGGCGCCGCGGCTCACTAGGCTAATCCTCCGCCTGTGGCGCCGGCACACCGGGTTCTAGTCCCGGTCGGGGCGCCGGATTCTGTCCCGGTTGCCCCTCTTCCAGGCCAGCTCTCTGCTGTGGCCAGGGAGTGCAGTGGAGGATGGCCCAGGTGCTTGGGCCCTGCACCCCATGGGAGACCAGGAGAAGCACCTGGCTCCTGGCTCCTGCCATCGGATCAGCGCGGTGCGCCGGCCACGGCGGCCATTGGAGGGTGAACCAACGGCAAAGGAAGACCTTTCTCTCTGTCTCTCTCTCTCACTGTCCACTCTGCCTGTAAAAAAAAAAAAAAAGACAACAGAAGAGTGTTCGAGAACAGCAGGGGTAACAGGAGTGTATGTCTCAAAGGCTGAGGCAAGGAGTTTTCTTTCTTTTTTTTTTTAATTTATTTTATTTATTTGAAAGGCAGATTTACAGAGAGAGAGAGAGAGGTCTTCCATCCACTGCTTCACTCCCCAATTGGGCGCGATGGCCGGAGCTGCAGCAATTCGAAGCCAGGAGCTTTATCCAGGTCTCCCCCGCGGTGCAGAGGCCCAAGGACTTGGGCCATCTTCCACTGCTTTCCCAGGCCACAGCAGAGAGCTGGATGGGAAGTAGAGCAGCTGGGGCTTGAACCAGTGACCATATGGGATGCTGACACTGCAGGCTGGGGTTTTAACCCGCTGCGCCACAGCAGCAGCCCCGTCTTTATTTTTTTTTTTAAATATTCATTTATTTATTTGGAAGTCAGAGTTACAGAGAGATGTTCCATTTGCTGGTTCGTTCCCCAGATGGCCACATCGACTGGGACTGGACCAGGCCGAGGCTGGGGGAAAGGAAAGGCCGCCACAAAACACACCCAACACCAGAGTAAGGGAACGGTTTATTGTTGGGTGGGGGAAACCTGACAGGCCGCCTCTCCGTGCCCAAGAGAAACCGCGGCCTGTACCAGGAGACCAGGTCTTACATAGCTTTGTGGAGGTAGGGAAGTGGGAACAGTGAAGCCTTTTAGGGTTGGGGTGGAGCTGGGGCTTGTGGTTAGGCCATTTGGTCACCTGGCTTTTAGTAAGTCAGGCTGGGTTTAAGATTGAAGCTTACTCTACAAGATGGCGACAGTGCCAGAGCCTAAGATGGCGTCCTGGGCTTAGATGGCACCATAGATAAGACAGTGCCATTTTACCAACACTGGGTGTTACCTCCTGGTGTCATGTGGTGCAGGGGCCCAAACACTTGGGCTGTCCTCTGCTGCTTTTCCCAGGCCATTAGCAGGGAGCTGGATTAGAAGAGGAACAGTTGAGACCTGAACCAGTGCCCATATGGGATGTCGGCAGGCGATGACTTTACCTCCTGTACCACAGCGTCAGGCTCATAAAGGAAGTTTTCAAAGGCAAAAGTGAGAAGGATTACATTAGCTATTTTGAAACAAGCATCTTTGACCACATTGGTTGTAACCAGGGTGACGTCAGGCAGAGGGTAAACAGTGGCAAGGGAGATGTCCTTGCAGAGGTATTTTCTGTAGAGGGTTGTGGTGGCCTCTGGGCTAACTTGTGGTTCCGGCAGCGTTTGTGACAGTTCCCATCAGACAATTTGCCTGAGAATCCTTTCCAACTCCCCTACCTTTGTCTTGTTGGGGTTGATACAATGACTCCTTGATTCTGACAACTTTCATATTTCTGTCCCAATAATTAAATATTTTGGCACTGAAGCAGTAAGATGCAGTTTGGCAAAACATACTTCAAATTCGATTGTGAAGGTGAAGTGTGAGTGAGGATGTAGAGTGATAGGAGCGCTCATGTCCTTTGGTGATGGACAATATGGGAGGATTTACTTTTCTGTGGAAATAAACGTGATGTGACCAAGGAGCTCAGCGCATTATGCAAGTGCAGGGCCCCATATTCAAAAATTATTCAAAATATCAAGGGGGCCGGTGTTGTAGCACAGTGGGTTAAACCGCCATCTGCAATCCATCTGGGCTGCTCCACTCCTGATCTAACTCCCTCCTAATGTGTCTGGGAAAGCAGTGGAGAATGGCCAAAGTCCTTGGGCCCCTGTCCCCACGTGGGGGATCCAGATGAAGTTACAGGCTCCTGGCTTTGGCCTGCCCCAGCCCCAGCCATTGTGGACATTGGGGAGTGAACCAGCAAATGGAAGATCTCTCTCTCTCTCTCTACCCCCCATAGCTCTGCATTTCAAATAAATGAATAAATAAATACATATTTTTAAAAACGTCATGCAGCAACACAGAGCATTAAGCCAAGCCCTGGGCCCTTTAGGCATCTGTTCTGTACACGTCTCAGCAGCTCAGAGGTTGTCATGTACAGATAAGGAAACAGATCTGAGTAAGACCATGGCACTGAGCTGGGGGGCGGCAAAGCCTGCCTGATGCACCACCCGTGCTCTTAAAGGCAACTGGGATGTGAGGGGGTTTGGTAAGACCATGGCCACTGAGCTGGTGGGCGGCAAAGCCTGCCTGATGCACCACCCGTGCTCTAAGCCAGCCCTCCATGCTGGCGCTAACAATGGTGCTGGGCCCTATCTCTGGACCCACACTGGCTACTAACTGCATGTGGAATCTCCCACTAACTCAGCAACAGCCCTTGCAGGAAGCCCTCCACGGGCCTTTACTTTCCCTGCAGATGAATAGAACAAAGCAGAGAGAGTTAAAAGACCTTTCCCAAGGTTAGAGAGTAAGGACAACCACGATGCGGAAGTCCAGGACTCTCCATTGATTTGTGCCCTGTCCTTGATTTGTCTAAATGCTACAGAAGGCCCACCTCACAGAGCAGCCAAGCCCCTAGCCTTGGGCCCAACTCATGGCCATTGCTCACCCTGGCCTGAACCCTCCTGCAGCACAGTCCCTGTCTTTGTCAGAGGCAGTCACAGCTGCTGTGCTGGGTGTCCTGAGGCTTACATGGCTCAGGGGCTGCCTGAGACATGGCTGGTACACGCAGCACAAGGTGAATGCTGGCTGAGCCTGAACCCAGGAGGTTTGGAGGGACACTTGCTGGGATGGGGTCATGTGGGGACACTGAGATCGTAACTCTGTGAGAAGTAAACACCTGGTTCACTTTCCAAGTAAGATGTTTAGCTGTGAGTAGACAACTAGCTAGCATAATAGTTTGCAGACAAGTAGCTATCTAGCACTAACAGCTAGGTTACATGCTCCAGAAGTTCTTAGGCAAACAGTGGCCAAAACCACTGAAGCAAAAGCGGGGAAGATTGTAACCCTATAGCACTCAGCCAATGAGGAACTGGGAGAGGGGCCCAAGTGCTAGGAAATCGTTAGCTTGCTGTATACTACCAGATGTGCTGGCCCACCAGGTGCCCAGTCCTGCAGGATGGTTAATAAAGTCTCACTTTTACTGCACTATCCTTAGTCTGAGTCCATCCTTTGCTTGGACTAGTGAGGTTGTTTTTCATAACTCTCACTGTTTAGATTCTGTTGACCCTGCTATGATTCGAATATCCATCCTGAATTAAGCAGTTTAGTCCCCAGCATCTAAGGTTGATGGTACTAAGAGGGTGGGAACTTAATCCAATGATGGTGCCTGGAGATGGCAGTGATGAAACTGGGTTAGGTTGTTAGAGTAGAACCTCAGGATTGGATCCTGGTGGCTTCATAGGAGACCACAGACACACACTGGCTCCCTGTGTCTTGCTTTGTGATACTCTGTACTGTCATGAGACTCTGCCAGCGAGAGCACCAAACCAGTGGGGCCTGTTTTTATTTCATAAAAAAGAGGATCATGCTATATACTATTCGTTCCATTCAACTTCACCTGGTAGAGGCCCTTTCCATCAATTTTTCCAACTTCAGTTCATTCTTTGTAGTGACAGTGCAATCACTTACTCAGCTGCTCTCCTGTGGAAAGGCACTGGCTATGTTTCCTGACTGACAGGATGCTAACTAGGATTACTTTTTGTGTGTCCTTATGAACTGATGCTTCTTTTGCTGTGGG